TAGCGCCAAAACATTTCTTGGCCAGTAATTTCCAGGTGAGGACCAGATTTTGCCGAAATTTGTTTACTAGAGAAGCCATTCTGTTCAAACTAATGCCAAAATGAGGCCAAAGCTTGTTTTGGATTCTAAAAATCTAACCTTGTACTTGTCGGTGGTGCCAGCGCCGCGTTTTAGAAACGGACGAGCCGCCATACGTCAATTTGCTTCTCGCTTTTCACTGCCTCTTCTAAAATGAACAAAATGTGTATGCAAGTAACAAAATGAAATAACGAAGAGAAAAAAGGTGAGACATGGCACGGGAAGGGAATAAAAATTGACGGAAAATTGAATTTTTGTCCTTAACTCAAAATACTCAGTTAAAATCTGAGAAAATTAGAATATTCAGGTAATCATTTATATTGATATAATTGAAATGAAATAATTACATATAATTGAAAACTATTATGTTTAAGTGCTCGATTCAAAGTGATTCAAACGATTATGCTCGAATTCAATACACGGCAAAATCAAATAAAAGCAAGCCCATCATGGACAAAACTGATAAGGGAAAACAAATAGCTTCTAGGGCTTGGAATAGGGATTGTTGGGTTCGGAGAATAGAAAAATACAAATGCAAAAAACCCAAAAATTTCTTGGCAAGCTGGCGGCGAACATTGAAAAATAGAGTCAATAAGGTATATGGACAAAAAACCTTTTTTTCTACAAGAAGGGTGAAGGTGGAGTAGCCTGAAAGTATGCAACATTCCAGGGTAATCGTTTTAAACCACTGAAACATTTTCTCCACCAGAAAAACCAAGTTTCAACAAAAACATGTGATTGGGTGAGGAAAAAAAGTAATCGATTCCCCAGAAAAGATTTCCCCTCTCATCGATCTAAAGAAGCGATTGTATGAGGGTATTTAGATGCAAATCGGGGCAAAAGAGCAAGATCTTTTACCCACACTGAAAAGAAGAAAAGTGCTGGCATCCAACTGTGAGGTGAGAAGGGGAAAAGGAAGAAAAGGTCATTTACAGGGGATTGAGAACAATCTGGGGGATTGTTGAAGAAACTTGACAAAGAATAATATCCAACTTAAAGATTTTCAAAGGTTTCCAATCGCTATCTTTGTAACTTTTGAAGTCATGGCGTTTGTGGATCTTTCAGATAGAAGCCTTAATCAGTTTTAGATCCAACTCTGCAGCGCATGATCGGCAAATCGTATTTCGCTAAAAAAACATTCACTCACACCAGTTGTTAAATAAAAGCTAGATATCCTTTTGGCCTTACTGTGCAAAGATCTATAAGTACCAACAGGAGCAGCTTACACCTTGTTAACCCTTCTCTACTAGGCCTCCACCTGGCCAGGACAAGTGCAAATTACAAGGATTACATGAGAACCGTCTTTAGCAAGAGATTGAAAAAAAAAATCAAGCAACGCATACTAAAAGGTAGAACTTTTCGAAAATAATTCTCAAATATTCTTTCGGTGATTTGTGAAAAAGAGAATTCAAGCGCTGAGTTAGTAACTTACCTAAGATCTTTAGGTTTTAGGTGGAACATAATAGATTTTACAAAGGGGAAGGAAAATTAGCAGAACTCGGCATTTTCTAAAATGATTTGACACAAAACCCAAGACGAAGTAACAAGAAGATTATTTAGATTTGCGTTTTAGTTGAAAGGAATTGGTTAAAATGAGTTTATACGGCATGCGTGAACGGATTGAAAACAATGGAGTCGAAAGGAAGGAGCTGAAAAGAAAACGAAATAAAACCGTATTAGAATTTTAAACAACAAACTTTGGGCATACAATATAAAAAGAAGGAAACGAACGAGGGCAGCGAGTAATTTAAAAACGCGCTATAGAAACATAATAGATTTTACGAAGGGGAAGAAAACTTAGCGGAACTCGATATAAAACCCGAACAAAGTCTCCGATTCCATCACGGAATGAAGGAAAATGAAAAGAAGCGCAAAAGGGATTTTTGTGCGGGGTACGATAGCGCATCCACGCTTTAGAAAGCGCACCGCGCCACTTTCGCGTCAATCCCTTAAAACCGCACATCAACAGGAATCTAACTGCTGATCTTATTCAGAGTTTTAACAATCAAATAGAAGATACAGAAAATACAGATTTAAGTCTGAAATACTTATGATATGAGTTATTGACTTGTGCAAGAGGTAGGAAAAAGCAAAATCTGCATGACTGCGGTGGTTGAAAGACGAAATTCAACTCTGAAAAATCAAGGACAAGATCCAAACAAGTATAGCAGATATCCCTGACTTTTCTCAATCCAAATCGAATATCGATCGTTTCAAAAAAAGGACTCCTTGGTGGGGTCAGCTGGGTTTTTGAGAAAAGAGGATTTGCATATGGTGGCATGCACGCAATAGAGAGATAGAGAGAGAGAGACTCGCTCATTTCTGTGCCGTTTCTTTTCTTTCTTTGATTGAGGATGGTGGAATGGGACAAAGACTGTTCTCTTATGAATCGTCAACATGTGATTGGGAAAGAATTGAGCCAAATAAGAACTATAAAAGCTCCTATCTGCTAGATTTGTTCGAAAAATGCGAACACTCTTTCTGGAGCGCTCAACTCTTGCCAAAAGTGTTCTAGAAGTGATCGATTATCTTGCTTCTTTGGTATACTTTGAAACGCATTCGATCTGGCGCACTAATCCAATGAAGATAGTTTTAACAAGAAATATAGTGAATTTGACTAGAAATTGCCTAAAGCTTGACCCAAATCGTGCCTCACTTGTCGCATTACGTAACTCTTCAATTGAGTCGAGTCTGGCGGCGAATCGGCGTGTCGATAGGAGTGAAAGGAATGCACTGCAATGCAATGCAAAGGAACAGACAAAAATGCATTCCATAACTACTAAAAGAGAGATAATGAAGCTTAGATCAAAATGAATTGATAGAGAAAGTTGGAAAACAAGTTTGAAAAACAAGTTTGAGTTAAATCATAGTCGCTAAGGTCAAAGCTAACTGAATTTTCAATTGATTTCAATTGATTTCAATTGATTAGCTAAAAACTAACTTTATTCAAGTCAGGCAAGGCTAGGATCAAGCCCAGCTTCTGGTGGAAAGCTTTTTGTGGACCTGGCTAAAGATCTGATGTTTCTAAGGCTAAAGTTTCTGACTTCTGTGAGCTTGACTAAAGATCTGATGTTTCTAAGGCTAAAGTTCTGACTTCTGTGAGCTTGACTAAAGATCTGATGTTTCTACGGCTAAAGTTCTGACTTCTGGTAGCTCCAAAAATGTTTATAGGATAGTCTGTGGTTAAATCCACTCCAGCTAGACTCGAAAATGATCTGCTTTCATTGAATTCATCAAACTTTTTAGGCTTTCAAAGCCACAAGACAACTTTTACTCGTTTACTTTTACTCTTTTACTCTATAGCGAGATTAGGGGAAATTCCACACAATCCAAGGATCACAATCTTCAGGAAATCTTCAGGAAAATCATCGACAACGAAGTATTTCACCGCCAAAATCATCTCAAATTGATTTCTAACAGTTTTCTTTTTGTGCATGACATAATTAATTGAGAAATGTGAGATAAAGAGCCTTTTCTCTTCATTTTTTTGCTGCCAATCGCTGACTCAGCTCCGTTTTCTTACTCACTTATCTATTGAACCAATTTTGATGTAATCAAAAGCTCCGTTTTCATGAAGATTTTGAAATTCAGATAAACAAAACTCTAAATGTAAATAATAATGGCTTTGAAAAAAGTTACATTTTTCTTTTTTCATTTTCAAACTTTTACCTAAACTTCTTTCTGATAGCTTTGAGCAAATTAGCTTTAGAAATTAGCTTTAGAAGTTGAATCTAAAGCTAATTTCTCGGCATTTCAGCTTTCCAAGTTAACCTAGATGTCAGCTTTCCAAGTTAACCTAGATGTCAGCTTTCCAAGTTAACCTAGAGGTCAGCTTTCCAAGTTGATCTAGATGTTCCCAGTCTTCCCTGCCAGTTTCCTCCTAGTTTCCTCCTAGTTTATTGACCAAAGTTCGTGTCCTCAACCATTTCCGTTTGCAATCCTTAAACAAAAACAATCTTCTAGCTGTCATTTAAATGCTTACTCACGATCTTCCCCCAATCAATCCACTCAAATTTCCTTGCTAAATAAATTTCTACAACTGAAGCAGGCATTTTACGTTCACTTGCTTAATTCAATAAATTTTTTTCTCTAAAATTTCAAATGATGATCATGATTTGTTTCTAGACTAAAAAATTGTTTACATTTTTTTCTTTTTCGATCTTTTTCTCTCTTTTTTGCCTCTTGAGTAGAGAAAAGCACTCACTTTGCAAAAAAAAAAAGAAAAGCAAAAAAAAGTGATAGAGACTGTTAAATGATTTCGATTTCTTTTTTTTCTTTTTCTTTTTTCTTTTTCTTTTTCTTTTTCTTCTCAATTCTTTTCAATCTTTTCATTTTATTTCTTAATTCTACGAATCAAAATTAAATGAATGAGCTTCTTTTTCTTTCGAAGAATCTAAATGTTTTCAGGAAATGTCCTAATGATTCCTCACCGCTATAAATCTCAAACTCAGGCCACTTTTTACACAACTTTCTATATTCTATTCGATTTTTAAGCAAAAATTCTTTGAAAATGTGTTTAAGGTAAGCATTTTAAGCAGCTCTACGATTCTCAGTGGTGCACTAAATGCGTGTGTTTACACTAGCAGCACACAGCTTAGGGTGGACTTTGTACTCGACCAAGGCACCCTTTTTCGTGCACTTACACTACTGGACAATGAAATATCATATTCGAAAAAAGAGATCGTCACTTTCGCGCGTCTGTAACTCCATTGTCTTTACCGTATTTGTAAATATTAATATTACCATTGTGTAGCGCTTGAAAAGAGCTTTCAGAAAATGTAGAACACTAATAGTTTAAGCTCAAAGACAAGGGAGTTACAGACGCGCGAAAGTGACGATCGTTTTTTTTTTTTGTTGTTACTGTAGTTCTTCAATTTTTTTCGCATGCTTTCATTCAATCAACAATTGTTTTAAATTTCAGAATGAAGAAATTCTTGTCCGCTTCAGTCTCAGATCTTCGTTTTTTATCCACATCAAATGGATCTTCAAAAGCAAAACAAACCAGGAAAGCATCGCTTGGTCAAACAGTTTCTGATGCTTTTCGAACGGTGATTGTGAAAAATCCTGTAAGTATTCTTATATAAATTTCCAGGGGATTATTAAAAAATCTCAACAAAGAATCATATCCAAATTAAAGATTTCCAAATGTTTCCAATCGCTTTTTTTCTGATCTGTCGTCACACTTAGGTGTTCCTATTTTGCGCAGATCACAACCAGCGTCCACCTTTCTCTATCCCTTGCTATTGTCATCCAGTGTTTCCTATCTTGGTTGTTCCTGGTTCGAAGTCTTCGACTTGCTTGTGCTGGTGGTGGTTGCACTCTAGCCATCCTTTCTCTGACCGTCTCTGCCACTCTTGTGCTCCACCTCATTACTGGTCTTCCGATGGGTCTCTTCTGGTCTCGTGGTAGCCACTCTGTGATCCGTATCATCCATCTGTCGTCTGTTCTTCTGGCTACTTGGTCGGCCCATCTGAGTCTTTTTCTCTCGATCACTTCCACTGGATCTCTGAGTCCCGAGAGCTGGCGCATATCCGTACTTCTTAGGTCTTGGTCGAGCTGCGTCTTCTTATTGTACCCGAGGAGGTTCCTTTCAAGGGCTCGATGCGTCGTTCTCAGGGCTCGTTCGGTGGTCTGTGTCGTGGCCCAGGTCTCTGTCCCGTAGCAGAGTGCCGGGAGGACGGTTCTGTCGAAGAGGTGTGCCCGAGTCTGTGCCCATCCGAGGCGGAAGTGTAGTTGTCGTAGCCGATGATACTCCGATGGCTGGGGCGCTCGGAGGGGAGCCCACAAAAGTCGAACCTTCGACTCGTCGGCTATCCCGACGTTGCTTAACGTCGGCGATCGGACAGACGGGATAGACCGCAGGCCCTTCCTCTTCTAGGCCTTTCTTTATAACTTTTGAAGTCATAACGTTTGTGGAGACTGTTTAAGTCTTCTATCTTTATCTTTATCTTCTATCTAGAAGCCTTAAACAGTTTAATCAGTTTTTTTTAATATTCTTAGCTATAGTAGGCTAAAATAATTGAAAATCTTTCCTATTAAATATTAAATTCAAAATTTCAGCCAATGCCCTGTCGCGTGGAAACCCCAAACTCTCTCACCGATTTCTCGGTGCTTCAACTCCGTCTCACCAACTTTATTGGACCAAAAAAGTTGGTACCCAAACAATTTTGCAATATAATTCAACTTTTTCTACTTTCAGATACGTGAAAATTCGATTCCTATCAAATTTGACTTCTTATCTTCAAATCTTTTTCAATATCATAGACAATTGGACAACTAGTGAGTGTGATTGAAATGAGGAGGAGGAGGAGGAGGAGGAGGAGGAGGAGGAGGAGGAGGAATTGAGGAGCTAAATCACAACTAATCATAGAACTATTATATTATCTTTCAGTCAACTCTGAGCGAGTTTCCGAAACCCATTGTGAGGGTGCTTCTCGTTATTTACCCCGTCGATGCCCTCTTCAACCAAATACCCATCAAATTATACAAGTGAAGAAAAAGGATGAGTGGTTAAATGTAAATTTATTTATATTGATATCTATATTGATATATATTGATTCTGATAACGCAATGCTATCAATCTCCAACTGTTTAGGTGATGATCGATGGTGTCTGCATAGCTCAACTTCGCACCCAATTCGGTCTCTCAACAATTGATGCCATTGAGGTTGATGGTGATGTGATTGTGGATGAGATTAGTACAGGTAGAAGAAGGATTCATTTTACAGCTTAATCACTGAATATCTTTACAGCTTAATCACTTTATCTTATGTGTTTAACACTTTTACTTTAGTGCAAACTCAGCGACGCTACAGCCGGCAACTCATCCGTGACCTTGTTAAATAGACTTTTCTCTTCACTTTCGTGCTATCCGTTGACTCACTGTGATAAGGCTTTTGATCTCATTGTTTGTATAAAGTTTACGAAACAAATTACAAAACAAATTACCAAACAAAAACAAATTGCAAAACAAAAACACAAATAAACCCAGCAGAAGCCAGCTTAATAAACCTGGCTTCTGGTTCTTTTCTATCAGAAATGTAATAGAGTAAAGAATGATAAAGAAAGAAAGAAAGGGAATTGAATCCTTGACCTTTTCACTTCCCTTTTTACTTCCTTTTTACTTTCCCAGGCAGATCCAAACCTGGTTTCTGATCCTTTTCTATCAGAAATGAGAGTAAAGAATGGTAAAGAAAGAAAGAAAGGGGATTGAATCTTTGACCCCTTTCACTTCCTTTTCACTTCCCTTTTACTTCCTTTTTACTTCCTTTTTACTTTCCCAGGCAGATCCTCTAGCCACTAAGCTATTCTCACAATCAACAGAAAAACTCTTGAAAAAGGACACGAGTAAAGTTATAAACTGGTTTTTATTCAAAAATTCACCTTCAGCCATTGGAGTTTGTCAATGCATCATTGTCATTATCATTGTCATTATCATTGTCACAATTGGCAATCATTGTCAATGCTAATTTCCCCTGACTCTCTATGACTCTCTAGTCATTGTCATTGACTTTCATTGACACATGACGATTCGTAATCAGCCCAAGGCGATCTTTTGATCGCCAAGAAAGGTTTAGATCTCTTCTCCTTTCGTTCAAAGATCAAACAAGCAACAAGAAAAAGAAAATTGAGCATATTTCTTAGGTTTCTTAGGTTCGCCTTAGGTTTAGATCTATTCTCTTTCGTTCAAAGATCAAACAATCAACAAGAAAAAGAAAACATATTTCTTCTTTCTTTGACAGTCAACCATTCACCATCCCATATTTGTTTTCTTGTTTTTCAAAGTGCATTTTTCTTTTCTTCTTTTATTTTTTTGATTGATTTGATATCATTTCACTCAATTTTCATTCAACAACATGGAAAAATTAGGTAAAATTTTAAAGTTTAAAGTGAAATTTATTCAATTTTAGCTTTGATTTCTGTTTCGGATAAAACTGGTTTAATTGAATTGGCGAAAAATTTGGCTGAGTCCGATTTTTCGATCATTGCATCTGGGGGAACGGCGAAAGCGATCAGAGAACAAGGAATTGATGTGAAGTGAGGAAATTAAAGAATTCTTGAGATCTTGAGATCATTTATCTTGAAGAATTCAATCCCATAATATCTAGAGATGTCTCTGATGTGACGAAATTCGGTGAGATGCTGGGCGGACGAGTGAAAACTCTCCATCCAGCCATTCACGCGGGAATCCTCGCTCGGGATACGCCACAAGATCGACAAGATATGCAAGTGAGGGATTTTTGTGGTTATTCTGATGCTAGGTTTTAAATCAATCAATTTAAATCGGTTCCAATACGGTTTCAATACGGTTTCAATACGGTTTCAACACGGTTCCAATACGGCTCGAAGACGGTTCTTTTTAGTTTCAATATTGTTCCAATACGGTTCCAATACGGTTTCAATAGGGTCCTTTTTAGATCCAATACGGTTCCAATACGGTTCCAATACGGTTCCAGTACGGCTTCAATTCGGCTTCAATTCGGTTTTTTTAGATCCAATACGGTTCCAAGACGGTTCTTTTTAGTTCCAATACCGTTCCAATACGGGTCTTTTTAGTCCATCAGTTTAATCAACCATCAGTTCAGAATTACGCTATAAACAGTTCCTCTCGATATCAGAAATTGAAATTTGATTTGTCGCACTCTTTACCCAATTCAATTACTGTTTCAAATCTTTGCCATCAAGAAAAATGAAGAGACGAGTGTGCCAGGGATCTTGTTTTTACACGAGCCTTGTTTTCAAGACAGAAACCCAATCCTTTCTGGCATAAAAAAAACTCGTTGTTGCTCTAGAATTGATAATAAATCGAGTTTAAAACACCATAAATTGTGCTATCACTTTTGAATAAAAATGGTAGCAGTTTGAATTTAAAAAAGGTCTAGTATGTAATATTTTCTTTGGGTTAAACTTTAATTTCAGCATCATGGCTTTTCACCGATTACAATCGTTGTCTGCAATCTTTATCCCTTCAAGGAAACTATCAAAAAAGAGGGATGCACTTTAGAAGATGCTGTGGAAAATATTGATATTGGAGGTTAGTAAAAAAAGAAAATTTGAGAGAAGCTATCTTCTTCTTCTAACTTTTTACTTGAGAAGTGATCTTCAAGCTTTCTACTTGAGAAGTGAGCTTCTAACTACTTCTAACTTTCTACTTGAGTAGCTTTCTTCTAACTTCTTCAAGCTTTCTACTTGAGAAACGATCTTCAACCTTTCTACTTGAGAAACCATCTTCAAACTACTTCTAACTTTCTACTTGAGAAGTGAGCTTCTAACTTCTTCAAACTCTCTACTTGAGAAGCGTTCTTCTAACTACTTCAAACTTTCTACTTGAGAGAAGCGATCTTCTTCTTCAAACTTTCTACTTGAGAAACGATCTTCAAGCTTTCTACTTGCGAACCGATCTTCTAACTACTTCTAACTCTCTACTCGAGAAGCGATCTTCTAACTTCTTCAAACTTTCTACGATCTTCTTTCTACTTCTAATTTCTAATTTCTACTGTAAATCTCACAAAATCTTTACTTTAAAATTTCTTTGTTGATTCAAGAAATCCATATGTCAAAGTTGGGCATTAAAAATGACAAATCTTTTTGATATTTGCGAAAAAGAGGTCAAGCTTTCGTTTCCTTTTCCCTCAAACCATCACTCATCTTTTTCTCGAACTTTTCCCACCTCTCAAGCTCTCAAGTTCAATTCAGAAAACTTTTGCAGATAATTAATCAAATTTCACTGAATAATTCATATTTAAAACTCTGATTTTATTTGTTTTATTCGTTTTATTTAATTAATTACACTAGAAAAGATGCATTTACATTGTTGAGCTCAAAGATGAAGCGAAAAAAAGAAATGTTCTTGTTTTCTGAAATCTTTTCTTTCAACTCAATCTCTTTTCAATTCCTTCAATTCCTTCAATTCCTTCAATTCCTATCGCTCAAATGTTTGCATAGAATAATCGAAAAAAGAATTTGAACTGAAATTTAGCAATTTCATTTTAAAAATTCGTTTTCCTCAAATAAAAAGCTTCGATAAATTTGTTTTGATTGAATTTCTTAACAAAACTTTTTCTGAAATTGCTCTTTTTCTAAACTTTTCCTAAAATGAAACTAAATTAAGCGAATTAAATTAAAGTTATTTTGAAATGAAACTAAATTTAGCGCTATTGGGTTGGGGAGAATGAGTCGGCGCCGAAAATCAAAAAAATGTCTAAAACTTCTATTCGACTTCGTCAAATAATATGCGTTTGATATGAGTAGAATGGTTAACTAATTCTCTACAAAATCACATTTAAAAGAAAATTCAAACAGCGCCTCCGCTCAAGAAAAAGCCATTTTTTCACAAAAACTACAAACTGTCATTTAGAAAAAACCATTGGTGGGATCTTCCTGCAAATTTGGCAACTTAAGTAATTCAATGTGCTCTATCTTTTTTATATAAACACCAAAGAAGGTTTATGTGAAAGAAACTGTTCAAATGATGAGTCGGACTCTTTGCCATTTTAACCAGCTGCGTTTCGAAGTTCATAAACTCCACGAAAGAAAAGCTTTGTGGAATCTCTCAAAAGTGATTTTGTAGAGAAATAGTGGATCCTTTTGATGAAACCAAACGTATGTTTAAAGAAGGCTTTATGTGTGCAAAAAGTCCCTTTAAAGTTCGGCGCCGACTCATTCTCCCCAACCCAATAGATTTGCTGTGTTTTGCATAAAGCTTTATTATTGGGTTGGTGAATTGAAAACTGCGGGACTTTGAACTAAAATTTATTCAACATAAAACCATGAATTCATTCCAAATAATTTCCCTTATTATTTCTGACTTCTGCCCATTTTACAGGCAATTTGCTGACTCTTCTTTCGTAGTAGGATTTTGGTTTTGAATCGAAAAACTTTCAAGGAAAATCCGCCCAGCCCCTAATCCCATTTTTTCCCGATACTTTACCAAACCCGAAAGGAAAGTCCCTTATGCAAGCCCCCATTTGCCAGGTGGAGAGCGATTGTGTGCGTGTACAAAGAACGGATTCCTCTTAGGATTTTGGTTTGTGTGTGAGACAAGTGTGAGACTCAAAAATGGGAGGACTGGAGATGTCGAGATGTCCCAGCTTGAGCACTTTCTTCAAAAGAAACCCATTTTGGTGTCACTAGAAAAGTTGTAGAGAATCAAAAATTAGGCTTATAGCGAAATTTCCAAAAAGATACACTCAGTAGTTTCGCTTAAAATGCAAGTTTTGTGAAAATTCGTAAATTTCGCATTTCTTGAAAACCAGTTTTTGAATCGTTCTGAAAATTCGGATATAAGCTTGATTTTTGATTCTCTACAACTTTTCCATTGACACCAAAATGGGTTTCTTTTGAAGAAAGTGCTCAAACTGTCACCTATGACAATAGCCGGCAGCTTTCAATTCACCAGCCCAATAAATTAAGCGAATTAAGCGAATTTCAAGATGAAGCGAATCTTGAAATGAAACTAAATTTAGCGCTAGATTTGCTCGCATAAAGGTTTCATCTATTTAGTTATATTTTTGTGGTTGGGTTAATGTTTTTTCGTTGAGATCCCCAGGGAAATGCTCTCTAAAGCAGACTTGGTCCTGCTCCTTCTCCCCTTCATTCGTCATCCCCATTCGTCACCCCCAAAAGAAAAACACCAAAAAGCTAACAAAAGCTAACACTCACTTTTCACTTAAGTAAAAGCTTAGATAAGAAATCGCTTCTCTTGAAGACATAGACGTCATTGGAGAAAGAGATTCATCAAAAAATAGTTCAAACTTTGCTTGAACCTTGCTTGAACTTTGGAGTCTTAAAAAGCTAAGGATATTTTTAGATTAGACAGTTGAAATTGAAATTTGAACCTTAAAAGTAATTCTTTTTTTGATTGACAAAATCAAAAACATTTTCAGGTGTCGCTTTGTTGAGAGCAGCGGCGAAGAATCACGATCGAGTGATTGTTCTATCGAAACCCGGAGATTACGAAAAAGTCATTGAACTGGTGAGTGACTTGTCAAGTTAAATGTGTAAATCTATTGTAAATGGTGTACTGTAAATGAGAATTCAACTCAAAAATCATCTAAACATCAACAATTCGATTCATTTCGAGAGCAACAACCACATTTTTGACGTTTTTAGACTTTTGTGAGCGGTGATTGATGTAGTACTAACTTTACCTAGGGTTTGGAATAAGCTCCCGTCTTGGACTTGGAATAAGCTCCCGTCTTAGACTTGGAATAAGCTCCCGTCTTGGACTTGGAATAAGCTCCCGTCTTAGACTTGGAATAAGCTCCCGTCTTAGACTTGGAATAAGCTCCCGTCTTAGACTTGGAATAAGCTCCCGTCTTGGACTTGGAATAAGCTCCCGTCTTAGACTTGGAATAAGCTCCCATCCTAGATTTGGAATAAGCTCCCGTCTGGTATCTTCTCGTCTGTAGGAAAATTGAAAGTATCTGTAAACGAATTAGATCTTATTGCCATGTCAAGTCTGCCCTATATTTAATCTTTTTGTACCTGTGTTTCCTAACTGTAGTCTTACTGTACTATTTTTTAGTTTTCTTTCTTTTTTGCGAAAGTATTGTAGCAATATGTTATGATTATCTGATTCGCTTCTATTCGCCCCCTGAATAAAGCATACAGATAAAAGATAGATCAAAAGATTAAGAGTTCAATCCTGTCAGTTAGATTATTCAATAGCCCCTGCGAATAGGCCACCATGGCTGACTGGCTTTGTATCTTAGCTAGGGTCAAGCTAAGAGGCCAAGAGGTCAAGGGTTCAATCCCAGCTAGATCCCAGTTCAATAGGTCAGCTAGACCCCAGTTCAATCCCTTCACTGCCTCTTTCCCTCTTTCCAAATTGCTGAAATCGAATTCAGTATCAGCTATGCAATGATTTAATCAAAAAATTCAAACTCAACCTTTTTTGCTCAATCAACTCTTACCTTAAAACCTAATTTTCTTCTAAAATTTCTCAGCAATTCTCAAAAAACGTTACTTTAAAGAAAAGAAAAAGAGAAAAAGAGGAAATCCATCATTTTCTTGGCTGATTTGATTGAGATTGGAAATTGGAAAAAGCCAAAGAATTTAGATGGGTTTTGCCAAGACATTATCGAGTCCATTCCTTTCAAAAAACCCCCATCCACCTTTACCCAATCCATTCAATTTCCATTTCCATTGAAATACGAAATCCCATCGTTTATTTAAATGTCATTAATCATTTTCCTAAAATGACATCGAATACTAATGCGAGACGAGCTCAATTCCGCCGCGCTGCCACCATTCAAGAGGTCATTTTGAGGGAAAATTTGGAATTTCTTCTGCCAAAATCAACCTTTAGCCTTTTATAAATGAAATTCGAAAGTTTTTTTCGTATCTTTTGATGAAATTAGACAAATCCGCTTATAAACAAAGCAATTTTTGATCTTCTAGACGTTTTTTTCTCTTAAATATTAGGTTGATGCATAAGTGTTTTCGTTTTTTTCGTACTTCTGTTAAAAAGTAACAAATTCACCAAATTAATCTATAGTTTGCTCTATAAAAAAAGTGTTTTTTTGTTCAATTAGCATCTTTTTAAATGAATTTCGGTTCACTTTGAAGCAAATTCGAGAGTGAAAAACGCCTTTTTCGTAAAAATCTATAAAAAACTCGACGGAAAAATTGGCTGAATGAATTTCTCTGAAATTTTGGCGAAATATCAAACGTTTTTTTTCTCTATCTTTTATCTATTGACACGAAGATAGGTTTTCTTTAGCTAAGGTGTCTAAACCGCATCATCGAGTTAGCCCTTTTTGACTACCCGACTTCATAATCTCAAGATCCAGGCATTTCTTTAGCTAAGGTGCCTAAATCGCATCATCGAGTTAGCCCTTTTTGACTACCCGACTTCATACTCTCAAGAAAATCCAGGCATTAAAGATTTTTAAACCCGTTTTAATGTTATTTTGCACAAAAATAATTGCTTTTTCTAATGAAATCAACCGTAGTTTAATTCGTGCATTTGTTGGCTTGAAACGGCAGACGAAAAGGAACAAAAACACTTATGCATCAACCTATTATATAATCAAAAGTTTTAGATTCGCTCTGGTGGCGTTCCCGAGTCAACGCGACGTCTTCTTGCTTTAAAAGTTTGTTTATTTTTAAGATAAGTTGAAGATAAGTTGAAGATAGTTTAAGATAGTTTAAGGATTTTAAGTTTAAACCATTTTTTAAGCAATTTGTTGATATTGTAAAGATTTTAAAGTTTACAATACTTAAAAATTCATCTTAAAGAGCTCACCATCTATCCGACTTTTTCCGATCGTATCCACAATAGCTGAGCTTTCGTTGTTGCGCAAGGGGTAGCATCTGAAAATTGGAAACTTTTGCATTGGATCTTTTGCTTCTTCAAAGTACCAACCAGAAGACTTTGAAAGGATTTTGAATGGAAGGGAATTGTGAAAGAGAAATCAAAGGAGAGGAAAGGAGAAAGATCTTTCTTCTCTTGGAAGAAAGATTGAAAACTAGAGATTGAGCAGAATTCTTCTAGAAAACTTGTTGATAGCATTAAAAGAAAGAACATAAATCATCTTGTTATCCAAAATCGATCAAATATTCATTCTCAGCATTTTGAATGGAAGGGAATTGTAAAAGAGAAATCAAAGGGGAAACCACTTGGAAGAATGATTGAAAAGTAGAAATAGGTACTCTATTTGGTCTCTTGGTACTCTATTGTACTAATGCATCTAGAAAACTTGTTGATAAGATTAAAAGAAAGAACATAAATCATCTTCTTATCTACAAAATCGATCAAATATTCATTCTCAGCTTTGCTATTTTCGGTTTTCTTTAAGCTCAAAAACCAATTTTTTTATTTCTTCAAACCAAAAATTTATGGCTTTGTTTTTTCGACAATTTCAATGAAAAAGAAAGAAAAAGAAATTCATCGGAGAATAAAATATTCAATGAAAGAGTCTCGGGGCTTGGTTGGTTTGTTCTCTCTCTCTTTTTTGATTCTTTTTTGACTCTTTTTCTCCATGTTTTGCAAGCGATCTCATCACATTTTGTTGCTTGTTCATGGGATCTCAATTCATGATCTTTTCCTCACATCTCGCTTTATATAAAGACATGTTTGAGGTCAATTTTAGTTATGTGTTCAATTCAATATTTGCTTTGTATACAGGGTGACCAAGAATTACCGCAACACACAAAAGGCCTTTTAATCTTGGCTTTTAACCAAAGGCTTTTAACCAAATATTGCAATTCGTCTCGAAAAGTTAATTATCTTTATCTTTTCAATATCTTTATTCAACATATAACAGTAAAAAAAATCAAATAATTAAATTCAAATTTGCCTTCATCAGCATTCAGACAAGCCTGCAAAAGTTTGGGAAAGCGCGTTGACCGTGGCATCATCATCGAGTGCAAATTAGACATCGTCATCGAGTGCAAATTAGGCATCGTCATCGAGTGCAAATTAGACATCCTCGAGGGTATCCCCATTAGTTTTGTGTTTCGGTTGGCTCTTTTTGGTTCGATTTTGGTTTCGGTTCAGCCGAAAGCTGAGTTTGTCGGTTCGGTTTCGGTTAACCGAAACCGAAACCGACAAACTCACCGAAAAAGAACGTTTCCGGTTTAACCGAGACACAACTCTATATCCCATGCTTTGATGAGCGCCTTGTAGAGTCATTCTTGTCTTGTACCTGCTCCTTTAATCTTCCTACTCCAAAATGCAAACACACCCTTTCTCGCTTTTCTTCATTTACATCAAATTCCTCAAGATTAAGTAGACTAGAAGGTATTTGTTTACATTTCAAAGCACAAAGTACACCTACTCTATAAGACTGAGGAGTTCACTTTGCAAACGCATCCCATTTGACGCATGGAAAGCACCCCAGCTCGCCACCGCCGATCGAAAGAAAAGTTATAGAACTAGTCAAAATGCGGGAAAAATTAGCCGCTCATACGTGGGATAGAAGTTTTCAAAATCTCGCTTAAAAGGCTTTTCATTCGAGTCGTCGTTCTATGTCGCAGCCGCTCGTGATTTTCAGCCGCTAATGATTGAATCACCATCAGCTAGCCGCTAGTGATTCAATCATCATCGGCTTTTCTTGCGAGTCGTCATTATATGAGCTGGGGTTCTAGTGGATAAAGTGTTTCTATACAAAGCGAGGTGCTCATTTTTTGCTCGGGTTCGAGTCCTCGCTTTGCAAATTTTTGTGTTGTGAGACTTGGGAAGGGTTAACACCAGAATTTTGTGTTCAATTTGCTTGTATTATCTTTAGCCGTACTGCTTTCGATAAAGTTTCTTGAAACCAGTGACAGTATTTAGGAAGCTTTAAGACATTGAGCTTTAATTTTATATCATTAACTTTATCTGAAAGCTTCTAACTAGTTTACTTTCTAACTAGTTTACTTTCTAACTAGTTTACTTTCTAGCTAATTTACTTTCTAACTAGTTTACTTTCTAGCTAATTTACTTCCTAACTAGTTTACTTTCTAACTAATTTACTTTCTAACTAGTTTACTTTCTAACTAGTTTAGTTAACTCGTTTAGTAAGCTGAAATTTTCAACAATTTTTCACTATTATTACCCATTTTAAGCGATTTTTATTTAAAAGAATAGTTAAATAAAAGAATTTTTGGTTTAAAAAGCTTTTCTTTAGTTTTAAAGTCAAAGTGAAATAATAAAATTTGTTTATTTTTCGAAAATCCACTTTCTATCCACATTTTATCGTCTATTTTATGGTTTTCTTTGCGAAAAAAGCTTTATTATTTCATTCTAAACCTCAATTTTCTAGATTACTCTCACTAGATTTCTCGATTTCTAGATTTGATATCAAATTTTTGTTTTAAATTCATTTCTTAATGATTTCTTCACATATTCTCAACGATTTTCTCGTAAAATTTGTAAACTTTTCAAACTTTTCAAAGATTCAAACACTTCAAACAACTACAAACACTTCAAACACTTCAAAAACTTGATCACTTTCATCGCATCAATTTCCATTCATATTTTAACGCCTTAAATCCTTTCAAATAGCTTTTTGTCTCTCTAGGGATCAAAAGAATCAAAAGAAAATGTCGGAAATGACGGAAAATGAATATAATGACATCAAGGATATGACTGATTGGTTGCCATATGCTGACAATGATGACGATTTTGAGGTAAGAGTTGACAGCAAACGTTGAGCTTCAATTTTTTGATTAAATGATTGCTGATACTGAATTCTATTTCAGCAATTTGGAAAGAGGGAAAGAGGCAGTGAGGGCATCTAGCTGGGATTGAACCCTTGGCCTCTTAGCCTTGACTCTAGCTAAGTTCTTAGCCTTGACTCTAGCTAAGTTCTTAGCCTTGACTCTAGCTAAGATACAAAACTCTTAGCCAGTTAGCCATGATGGCCTATTCGTAGCCTATTCCTAGCCATAATGGCCTATTAGTAGCCATGATGGCCTATCCGTAGCCTATTCGTAGCCATGATGGCCTATTAGTAGCCATGATGGCCTATTAGTAGCCATGATGGCCTATCCGTAGCCTATTCGTAGCCATGATGGCCTATTAGTAGCCATGATGGCCTATCCGTAGCCTATTCGTAGCCATGATGGCCTATTAGTAGCCATGATGGCCTATTAGTAGCCATGATGGCCTATCCGCAGCCTATTCGTAGCCATGATGGCCTATTAGTAGCCATGATGGCCTATTAGTAGCCATGATGGCCTATCCGTAGCCTATTCGTAGCCATGATGGCCTATCCGTAGCCTATTCGTAGCCATGATGGCCTATTAGTAGCCATGATGGCCTATTAGTAGCCATGATGGCCTATTCGTAGCCTATTCGTAGCCACGTAGCCCTATTCGTAGCTCTTTAATCTCTGCAATTCAAAAGCCACCTTCGAGCTTTAATATTTGCATTTCCGAATCGTTCATCCCAAAAAAATTGAAATGGGAATGCCCGAGAAGGGAATGGTGTGTCTGGGGCCTAAAGTCGAAATGAGTTCAGTTCTCGAAAGAAGAGAGGAAGAGAGGTTTTGATTTTAAGCCATAGAAGGGCCCTACCTCTCCTTCAGCCTCAGCCTCAGCCTCTCTTCTAAACTAAGTGACCCCCTTTCCCCAACTCTCTAACACATCGTCTGCTTTCTGTCAATTCTCTTAGTCTTCATTTTCGAGAGGAACTTCTCTCTTCTCTTTTTCTTCTCTCCTCAGCCGACAACTTCAATTTGTCGCATAGCTTTTCAGTTTCCCTTGACACTGAATTTTTTTCGCTCTTGACCAACTCAATGCTGGCTTTGATCGATTTCTGAGAGGCTTTTTGAGTGAACTGAGCGATTTCTGGAGATTTTCTGATTGATTTGCTAGCTGAACTGAATTCTGAACTATTATTCGAGATTCGAGGCTGATTTCTAGCCGAAAATAGAATATTGCAGCAATTTGTTGAATTCTGTTTCTGCTTTGAAAGCGATTCTTCTCTACAAAACTTGTCTTCATCTCTTTGTGAAAGCGATTCTTCACTATAAACTTGTCTTCATCAATCACTTCGTCAATCACTTCATCAAAGCCATCAAAGCCATCAATCCATCAATCTATTAAATCAAAATATGCTATCGTTAATCATTCGATAGCCACATCTTCTCTATATTAGCTATTTGATCAATTCCACCGATACAACGGGTCATTCTTTAACTTCTTTAACGGCAATCATTGTTTATTAATTCTTTTCCTTCGGGTAAACACTTTCACGTAAACACTTTCCACAAACAATGTCTCGAATATCATCGATGGCTTGGAAATTTAAACAAAAAGAGGAAGAAAGAGCATCAAGATCGTCATCAACATTATCCCCATCGTCATCAAGAATGTTTGATCGATCAAGATCACACAGTCAACGACGAACAAATGGAATGAATGGAACGAATGGAACGAATGGAACAAATGGAACGAATGGGTTTCCGGATCCGATGGTATGCCACTTACGCTTATAATAAAGCACTCAAAATGATTTGTACACCAATCGTTTTGCTGTTTTGCGTTTTCTGCTATTACTTCTAAACAAAACTCTGTTAAATCAAAAGACTCAGTCTATACACTAATTTTAACCAGTCTATACAATAACTATTCTTAACTTATCTAATGAATACTTCAGTTCTTCATGGTTAAATCCAAAACGGTGTACGAATCATTTTGACCGCTATTGTACATTTAAATCACTAATCTATCAGAATCTACTTGATTTTGGCTTAGAAATTAGCCACTGATGGATCACCAAATCCTTGTTAGCATCGAATGCTGTTTATATTTGTCTAAAGCTCAATCCATGTCTATGGACTAAAACAGCGAGATGATCTAGGGATTGAGCTGGAGATTGAGCTGGAGTTTGAGCTGGAGTTTGAGCTGGAGATTGAGCTGGAGATTGAGCTGGAGACTCAGTCGCTGCCCGCTCCTTTTCCTTCAGTCTTTCAAATAGCATGATTCAAGCGTCACTGCACAGTACGAGGACTGATAGAATTTCGAACGGTTGCTAGTAATTCTTGATGGATATCAAATTCTTGATGGTTTTCCGTGCGTGCTTTAAAAGAAGAGTCATCCGATTCCGAGAGTTATCCGAGAGTCTCGAACAGTGGCTTCTCTTCGGTTGATCTTTGTTTTTCTTGACAATAGTAGACCCAGAGCAATGGAGCCAGAGCTTGATTATAATGAAGCTTCAAAATTCGAGAAACGATTGATTTCTCAACCTTGAAATTTGCACGACTTTGGTTTTCCCGGATTGGAAAACGGAAGGACCCCATCTCCGGGCGTATGCCAGATGGAGAACGATTGTTCGCGCGCACAAAAAACACTTCGCCAGTCATTTACACAAGGAGTTTTTCTTTTGCGATTTAGATGATAAAAAGATATTTGACTAGACTCGCTAGAAGTTAGATTTAAACCTGACCTAGCCCTGAAACAACCCTATTTTATGTCTATGAATAGTCTCCATCATGTGGTACCTCCTTTTCCGATGAAACTAGAGCATTACTCCTTGCAAACATCAAGGCATTTATATTCAACTCCTCCTTTTCTGCTTGAAGGGTCAATCTCATCCTTAGTTTACTTCACCGGATGCGGTCCATTTCCGCTCAATGGAAAGTGATTCAATGGGGAATTTTTGGAAAAGCTTTTAGCTATTTGAATCTATCGAGTAAACACTTGAAAAATCTGTGGTTAAGAGATCAAAAACAGTTGTTGAAAGTTGAAAACAAAAACAATTGGGTTATATAAATGAGAGAAATCTGATCATTCTACATTCTCGAACAACTGATTCATAATGCTAGCCGTAAAGCAAATCGTTGGTTTTCTTTAGATCTTTCTTAAGTATTCATTATTAAATTTAAGCTATTTCCACTTGATCTGGAATAACAATTTCGCTTTAAGCTAGAAGTTGATCAGCTTTATCTGCTAGTTAATCAGCTTTATCAGCTTTATCTTCTAGTTTATCAGCTTTATCTTCTACTTTATCAGCTTTATCAGCTAGTTTATCAGCTTTATCTTCTACTTTATCAGCTTTATCTTCTAGTTTATCAGCTAGTTTATCTCCTTTATCAACTAGTTTATCTCCTTTATAAACTGCTGATGAAGTTAAACTGATAAAATAAGTACATTAAAGTAAGGAACGACAGACAAAGTTAAGCCAGATCAGGCCAGGCCTGACTGGCTTTATGACTAGAACTTGCTCACCTTTAGGCTTTAAAGCAAGGCAATCTGTTAAAGCAAGCTAATCTGTTAAAGCAAGGCAATCTGTAAAGCAAGGCAATCTGTTAAAACAAGCGAATCTGTTAAAGCAAGGCAGTCTGCTAAAGCAAGCCAATCAAGCTAAAGATCCTTTTCTTGAGCAATAACAATCCTAAACGATTCCCGAATTTTGTCTCTCTTTTCACCTCAATATTTCATTCTTCTTATTGCCTTCAAGGGTTTTGAATTTCGAGAAAAGGAATAGATTTTTTTGAAGGGTCTAGCAGAGTTTATTGCAACGATTGGGGGGAAAAGGGAAAAGGCTAGTTCCCTCTTTTTTTCATTCCATCCAATACACTCTGAAAAAAAAAAGGAATCAACTCACTAAAGCGCACTTCCTTTCTCGGTTTGGAGAAAATGAAAGGAAAACTTTCGAAATAGCAATGAAATGGAAAATTCTTTTCAACAGGTTCAAATATTTTAAAAACTTTATAGAAAATTGATCAAAAAACGTTCAAAAACGTTTAAGGAAATGAGAATTTTAGAGAATTATGTAAATTATAGTAATTGTATTTAAAAGTATTTAGGCTTTTGAGCAAACCTCTTCCTATGATGAAAGCATTGCCACCTATATGAGACGACGATTCGCCGGTGATGGGGAAAAGTCGATTCCCTTGAGATACGGTAAATGAAATGGGAAATAAATATCGAAAATCTTTTTAGGGATGAACCCTCATCAGAAAAACGATGCTGAATTGTTTACGGAGCAAGATGAGATGCCGTTGAAAGGTGAAAAAAAACATTTTGTTTACAATGTTCACAATTTGGTAGAAAGAATACACAAAGTATTAGAATAGAAAGAATTAAGCCCTAAATGTAGGGAAGAAAAAAATGGAGAAAAAGAGACGAAAGACAACAGGCGGAATTGAACCCTTCAATCGGGATCGAACCTCCAGATTAAGAACCAGGCCTCTTAGCCAGTCGGCCATAAGAGAGCGTGAAGGGTCGACAAAAACAACGGTATGTCTATACTTGGCGTTGAATTCTTTGAGATTTGAGGTTCTAAAATCCTTACTAGATACTCTAAAGTACTAGGATACAATGGACAAATTGTAGGGTACTTAGGAAAGTTGTAGACTCTAGAATACTGTAGTTGTCGACTCTAGAGTACTGTAATTGTAGACTCTAGAGTACTGTAGTTGTAGACTCTAGAGTACTCTAGAGTACTGTACAGGACTTTCCTGTACTTCAAACTATAAGTTTACGATATTGTGCACCAGATTCTGCAAGGGTAAAAGCGATAAATAAACTAAAATAATAGAAACGAGACTTTACGTAACTTTACGCACTTTGCTACTGCTTTCTTTGTTTTCCTTTAAAAAGCAGCTCTATCTATTCATTTTCTTTCTGTACTTTGCACTCAAAAATCGTAAACGAACCCTTTCTTGTGCATTTTATTTCACAAGGAAACTCTAGTGAGCCAGAAAGATTTGTTTTTGAGGGTTTTTGAGTTCAAAGTACATCTTGTCCTTGTCACTTTCCTGTTTAAATGTCTTTTTCAATGTACAGGTCGCTCAAAATCAAGAGATTCGAAGTTGATGAATCGGGTGTGGAAAAATGGAAATGGAAATGGAAATGGCAATGGAAATCTAAATGGAATCCACCGACATGAGCCGACAAAAATCAAGCCAAAAAATAGCCAAAATGGACGAGTCTCTCAATCGCAATCTCCGCGAAGAATACCGAAACCCGCTCAACCGGTCATGGGTACTGTCGCTTGGGTTTTGTCTTGCATGCTGCAACTTAAATGTTTTCTAAAACGTGTCAAGCTATCGTAATCTTGACTCTAGTGTCACCCTATCATAACCTGGTGATTCTCTACTGATTTTTTTAAGCAGAGATCTTCCAAACAGAACCTAGGGCCGAGTCAGAAGCCAAACCAACAGCGTCAAGGTTAGACATGGACACTAAAAACACTTCTAACTTGCTTCAAATCTACTGGACTGATATGATCTATAGCTTAAAAAATAGAGAATCTCAAGAGTTTTCGAATAGATTAAAGTACACTCAAAAGTGTGAATGTTAAAGAAAGTTACAGTGATTTGTAGTCCTGACTAGATCGCTTCGAATATGGTTTGTTTGGGAAGAAATTTAAGCTAAATCAAGTAAAGCTTAAAGGCTTTACCCTAAGAAATTGCTTTTTTTGAGGATTCAAGGATACTGTAATTCCCAAAGGATACTGTAATTCCCAAAGGATACTGTAATTCCCAAAAGATACTGTAATTCCCAAAGGCTATTGTACAATACTTAATGGATAAACTGAAGTCAAGATTACGGTAGCTGTTGAAAGACATTTTGACTTTTGAAATGTTTGTGAAAGATTTTGTTATTTCTTTTGAAATGAATGATGCTTGAATGTGTAGAACACTATTTTGAAGATGTGCTTTTTTTTGTGCCTTTTTCTTGTCCTTTCTCGTTTAGTTACCATAACAAATAGTTCAAAGCAAATAGACTAAACAGTGAACGAGGTGATCAAGTGGTTTTTATGAGAAAATTTCAATTAGAAAAGTCTCCATCTTTTCAGTTCTCAACGGGGCGCCCGGTTACATCAATATTCTCGACGCGTTGAATGGATGGCAACTTGTTAAGGTAAATAACTAGAGTAATGTCTAGGCTATAATAATGCAATGTAGGATTTAGGCTACAGTAATCAAGGCTACGTAATCAAGGCTATAGTAATGCTATATAGGAGCTAAGCTACAGTAAACTAGACTAGAGTAATGCTAATGCAATGTAGGATTTAGGCTACGTAACCGGATAGGATAGGATAGGATCTGAGCTATAGTAACCTAAACTAGGTAGCCTAAGTCTACGTAACCGAGGCTACAGTAATGCTATCTAGGATCTGAGCTACAGTAATCTAAGCTACGTAACCTAGGCTACAAGTAATGCTGCATAGGATCTAAGCTACAGTAACCTAAGCTACAGTAATCTAGGCTTCAATAGAATCATACATTTATTGGGACACGTTCGATCCACTAAAAATTTAAGATATCCCTTTTATTTTCCTTGATTTCAAACCTATAAAAAAACTGTTTTCTAACTTTTTTGAGGACTAGATACCGTATTTCTTCGAATAGAAGACCGGGTAAAGAGTATCATCGCGTACTCCTGCGTAGCAGCCCTTTTTAAAACTTCTTTTCTGCATAAAAGCTTTCAATGAAGTGCTATAGGGCTGGAAAATGACTCAAAAATCTGTTAGCTCATGTCGTATTTTTGAGTCATTTTCCAGCCCTATAGCACTTCATTGAAAGCTTTTATGCAGAAAAGAAATTTTAAAAAGGGCCGCTACGCAGGAGTACGCGATGATACTCTTTACCCGGTCTTCTATTCGAACAAATACGGTAACTTTTCACTTTTCAGTTTAGTTACCATGACAAAAACTTCATTTATCATTATGTTTAGGAGCTTTCTGAAGCCACAGCCCATCCAGCAGCCGCTTCTTTCAAGCATGTGTCACCAGCAGGTTTTTTTTAAAGCATATATCTTTGCTTATAGCAAATCTAGCTTCATTCTAATTTGATTAATTTAAAGCTAAGATCTCTATAGAAGTTTCAGAACAAAAATACTAAGCTACAGTGAACTAGGCTACAGGAATGTTATATGGGATCTAAGCTACAGTAACCTAAGCTACAAGCAAGCATGTGTCATTAGCAGGTTTTTTTTAAGCATATTTCTTTGCTTATAGCAAATCTAGCTTCATTCTAATTTGATTAATTTAAAGCTATGATCTCTATAGAAGTTTCAGAACAGTTTCAGAAGTTTCAGAACAAAAATACTTTCTAGGAGCTGCTGTGGGTGTGCCGCTAAATGAGGGGGAAATGCAAGCGTGTATGGTAAACGATCTGACATTAGACACAAAAAGACCATCACTTGCTGCTGCTTATGCGAGAGCTAGAGGTAAACAATGAATGTTCAATGAATATTCAATGAAAGTTCAATGAAAGTTCAATGAATGTTCAATGGATATTCAATGAAAGTTCAATGAATGTACAATGAATGTTCAATGAATGTACAATGAATGTTCAATGAATGTACAATAAATGTACAATGAATGTACAATGAATATTCAATGAAAGTTCAATGAAAGTTCAATGAATGTACAATGGGAGTTCAATGAATATTCAATGAATGTTCAATGAAAGTTCAATGAATTTTCAATGAATTTTCAATGAATGTTCAATAAACAAAACTCAATTCTCACAAATTCATTTCTCTAAAATAAATACTTCCTTGTCAATCAATTGACGAGGAAATGAAAGTCTCTTGAAAAAAGTGAAGAAAGATGTTAGACGTTAGAAAAAGCAGACGTTAGAAAGTAGTTGTTAGAAAAACTAGACGAATTACTGTAACCAATTCATTGTTTAAATGCTTTTTAATAAGTTTATGATTGAATTTTCTTAAAACCAAGTTTTTCTAGAACAGGAGTGGCCTCTTTTGAGAATGGATCGGTTAGAAAAGTTGACTGATCTTCTTGGTGAGCTGTGGAATGAAAAAAGGCTATAAAACAGTTATAAAACAGCTATAAAACAGCTAATAAAACAGCTAATAAAACAGCTATAAAACAAGCCAATTTTTCGTACTAAACAAACAAAAAAATGAAATTTGAATGTTTTTTTCTTGAAAATAACCCATTGAGTTTCGCTTTTTGAGAGAAAAATTTCGTTGGAATGTTTGTTTCTTTTTTTGAAGTGTAAGGAAATGTAAACATATCCTTTCTGGTGCACTCAACTTGTTCTTATCTTTTATTGTCAGTAATGATAACGTTCAATAGTGCCAGAACAGATGCGTTTCCATAACAGAACAGATTTGTTTCTTTTTTTTGAATGAGCTTCGGGTCCATAACTCAAGCTTTAAAGCTGAAAAAACAATAAAAAAAACGTTTTTTGTTCAGTGTTTCGTTTTTCGATAAATCATTTGAAGATTCATTTGAAGATATTCAGCTAATAAATGAAGTGAAATGAATTTTTCTTTCTTTAAGGTGCTGATCGAATGTCTTCTTTTGGGGATTTTATCGCACTTTCCGAGAAATGTGATGAATTGACGGCGAAGATCATCAATAGAGAGGTGGAAATAATAATTGAATAAACTATAATATTATCTATATAAAAGAATAACTAACAAAGAAATGGGGCTAGTTTCCGGAATTGGGTTATTTGCGCAGCTAGATCTTGTGCAACTAGATCTTGTGCAACTAGATCTTGTGCAACTAGATCTTGTGCAACTAGATCTTGAGCAGCTAGATCTTGCGCAACTAGATCTTGCGCCACTAGATCTTGCGCAACTAGATCTTGCGCAACTAGATCTTGCGCAACTAGATCTTGCGCCACTAGATCTTGCGCCACTAGATCTTGCGCCACTAGATCTTGCGCCACTAGATCTTGCGCCACTAGATCTTGCGCCACTAGATCTTGCGCCACTAGATCTTGCGCCACTAGAACTCGCCACTAGAACTCGCCACTAGAACACCGAGTTGGTGACTATTTACAGCTTCCAAAGTTTCTCCCTTTTTAAAATTTCTTTTCTGCTTAAAAGCTTTCAATGAAGTGCTATAGAGCTGGAAAATGGCTCAAAAATCGGTTAGCTCATGTGGTATTTTTGAGTCATTTTCCAGCCCTGGAGCACTTCATTGAAAGCTTTTATGCAGAAAAGAAATTTTAAAAAGGGCTGCTACACAGGAGTACGCGATGATACTCTTTACCCGGTCTTCTATTCGAAGAAATACGGTAGTTAACCTCTAGCTTATTACATTCAATCAATAATTCATAAATCAATAATTCATAAATCAAAAATTCAATTGAAACAAAGATTAGGAAAATTTTACTGTAGAATCTACTGTAAAGATGGCTAACTAAAGGATATTCAGTTTTCATTTCTCAATTTTGACTATTTACAATAGGATACTGAAAGTAGAACAAAAAAAAACAAGAGAACAACAACACTTCGACCTTTTTTCAAAGTTACTTTACTCTTTTCAGGTTTCTGATGGTGTTGTGGCGCCTGACTATGAGCCAGCTGCTTTATCTTTGCTTGCAAAAAAGAAAAATGGAAATTATACAGTGTTAAAGGTAGAGAAAAGTTGTGATTTATCTTTAATATTGATTCAAATTCTCTAAAGATCAATCCACAATATGTTCCAACGGATCTCGAAGAGCGAACGGTTTTCGGGCTAAGATTACGGTAAACGATAATGGACTTTGTCAGATTCCAAAGATCGCAATTTCAGCCAAAAGCGCAACGATGCGGTCATCAGTTCAGAGACTTTTAAGAAAGTCGTTGGTGAGGTGAAAGAGGTATAGGTTTTGATTTTCGTTAAATTTTCATACATCTAAATCTTCACTGATCATTTCTTAGCTTATAGCTTTCTTTTTAGCTCTCAAAAGAGGCCACATTGGATTTGATCGTGGCGACGATTGCCCTCAAGTACACCCAGTCAAATTCTGTTTGCTTTGCACATCGGGGACAGGTTTGGAGATGAGAATGAAATTTCTCAATGAAATTTGAATAGTTTATCCTATCCAAGCTTCTCTAGCTTATCCCATTGATACTTGGATTAATTTATAACAAATATAAAGTGATATAAGTCTGATAGAGTTGACACAAGTTGAGATGAGTTTCAAACTCAGCTTGCTTTTCACATCGGGGACAGGTTGGGAGATGAAAATGACATTTATCAATGAAATTTGAATAGTTTAACCTATCCAAATTTCTCTAGCTTATCCCATTGATACTTGGATCAATTTATAACAAATTTGAGTTGATACAAGTTGAGTTGAGTTTAAAACTCAGTTTGCTGCACATCGGGGACAGATTGGAAGATTCTATCAATGAAACTTGAATAGTTTATTCTATCCAAGCTTCTCTAGCTTATCCTATCATACTTGCATCAATTTATAACAGAGTTAACACTTGTTGCTCAGTTTGCTTTGTGCATCGGGGACAGGTTGGGAGATGAGAATGAAGTTTATCAATGAAATTTGAATAGTTTAACCTATCCAAGCTTCTCTAGCTTATCTAGTTTATCCTACCAGACTTATATCACTTTATAACAAATCTGAGTTGATTATGAGTCTGGTTATGGTTTAGAAAGAAGTAATTATACTGAAAACTGAAAAGATTTGAAGTAAATCGTTTCTCTTTAATAATTAGACTAATATTAGTATCGCTTTTCTTTACTTACTATTTAATAAACTATAAATTTCTTTTAGGTAATTGGAATGGGCGCTGGGCAACAGTCGCGTATCCATTGCACTCGGCTCGCTGGCGAGAAGGCAGCTAATTGGTGAGAGAAAACTTTCTTTACCATGTAAATCTACTTCTAAAACTTGTGCTATTTACAATATTCCAATAGCTTTTCAAAAATGATACAAAAAAAAGAAACTCCCGAAACGATGAGAATGAGATGAATGAGATCTGATCTAGCAGATCTGATTGATCTGATTGATCTGATTGATCTGCTTGATCTGCTAGATCTCCTAGATCTTCTAGATCTGCTAGTTCTTCTGATAATCTTTAATCTTTTAACAAAATCTTATTAACAAGTTCGCAAAAGTTTATTCTCAAAGAAAAACGGTGAAAAAATCCAGACAAAACTTTTGTTTTTGCACTAAAATGAAAATGGGACAGACACTTTGAGATCTCTTTGGTTGATCAGAGTTGATCGAAAAATGAGAAAGACACAAATATAGGGAAGACAAAGAGCGAAAAAAAAAGCAAAAATGACTCATTGGCGTCGGAAAATCGGCTTGTTGCAAGCGTCACCACATAAATTTCGCACCTAGAAATGGGATTTGGTTAGGAATTTTCTATAAGCATTAGATATCTAGAGATGGGGTAATAGAGAATCTAGCGACTTATCGATCTTTCACCAGTTAGCTAGATTAGATTCTTAGGTGAATCCCATTTCTAGATGCGAAATTGACTTATCGATCTTTCACCAGTTAAAATTTCGCATCTAGGAATGGGATTTGGTTAGAAATCTGATCTAGCTAACCGATCAAAGCATACCCACTCAATGAGTTGCTTTTTTAAAACCCAAAAACTATAATGTCTATAGAATCCTGTCTATAGAATTTTAAGCGTTCAATGTAACTATTTATATTATAAGCCTATTTATATTATGTATATATTTGTATTCATAAATTGTTTGGATCCACTTGACAGCAGAGTTGATTCAAAGCCTAATATTCAAGCCAGATCCTGGGCTAGACTTGCCTAAGCCTGCTCTGGACTTGACTTACGGCTCTAACTTCATTCCAACTTCATTCCAGAGTTGAACTTCATTCCAAACTCCTAGTTTAATTTTGAAATCTTTATTAGTAAATAGTTGAAATTTTGGCAGTAACTTTGGGCTGATATTATAATTTCATCTCTAGCTTGTCTTGTTCTAGTTCTTGTTCTTGTTCTAGTTCTTGTTCTTGTTCTACTTGTTCTTGTTCTTGTTCTTGTTCTTGTTCTTGTTCTTGTTCTAACCTTTTTCCAGTAAGTAGCAGTGTTCGAGTCTCGACACCCGTTGGCTCCCCCATCGTGGATTCGAGCCATCGTCTCACAATCGCTTTTTCCATAGCATTTCAGTCGAAATCGTGAGGCTATGATCTATAAAAAGTCAGTTTATAAGATTTTTCCATAGCTAGAGCTGTTCTTGTACTTGTAAATCGTCATTAAGTTGAGTCTTTTCAGTTGAAGTTAAGTGTAAGACTTTAAAGTCGTTCAACTTTGTCATTTGAATACTTTATCGCAGTGAAATAGAAGCTAGAGCCTTTCCTGTACTAGATTTTGTAGATTCTTGATGTAGAATACTAGATTCTTGATCACTCACTCGGATACAATTCGCTGAGCAGTGATAATCCTCTGCACAATGCATCCAGGCTTCTTCCTCATTCTCGTCATCTTTTTTCCCGGGTTGATAGCATTGCTAAAAGGCTTTTCTAAGGATTCTCTTGCTTTAAAACGCTACCCGAAACTGGTAGATGTTGAGATTGAAATAACCGCAACCGATTCTTTCATTTTGATCCACCGAACACCCGACCGGTACACAACCCGAATCCACATCACACATCGACAGAAGACAAGATGATTCAGCATCCACTAAAGATAAAGATATCTATAAGACTAGTCTAAGTCAAGAACAATCGAGTAAAGCAAAGCTAGGTTAGACTCTAACCGTTAGAGTCTGGTTAGACTCTAAGGCTTAGGCTTAGGCTTAGGCTCAGGCTCAGGCTTAGGCTTAGGCTTAGGCTTAGGCTTAGGCTCAGGGTCTGGTTAGTCTGGTTAGACTCTAACCGTTAGAGTCTGGTTAGACTCAATCCAAAGCCAGCTCCAGACTCGGTTGTGGGTTTAACAGTAAAGCCTACAGTAAAGCCTACAGTAAAGCCTACAGTAAAGTCTACAGTAAAGCCTATAGTAAAGCCTAGAGTAAAGCCAGCCAGTCTGACCTATTATTGATCAACCAGACAACCAGATAACAGTTTACCTACAGTAGTTTTGAAAAAAATGATTGTTTTATTGAGATCGACCTTGTTTTAACGGCTCAAGGCTCAAGGCTGAAGTACGTAAACCCGGAGTAGTTTTTTGTTTTGATAGAACTTCTTTAACTTTCTCCAAACCTTTGTCAAACATGAGCATCGCTCTGACGATCCCGGTGAACGCGGACAGTGCGATGAGGTAGCAAACGATTACATTGAGCCTAGAACGATTACATTGTTTTTGAGCCGTTGTTTTTGAGATGAAATTTGCTTTAAACTTGAGATACTTGTTTTTCTCAACTTGTTTTTTCAGGATTTAAAAATTATGTTGTTTAAAATCACCTAAGACGTCGTTGCATCGTCTTTCCTTGAAACAAATCAACTCTTGCATCCGAGTTTTGCTAGAAATTTGTGATTAAGAGCTATTGGACTGATTAAGAGCTATTGGAATATTGTAAATAGCAGAAAATTAAGAAAGATCGGTTAAGAATCGTAAATGGGAATAAGTTTAAGAAAACATTGAAAAGCTGTTTAATTTATGAAAGACATTTGAAATTTTGCATACAATTGGAAGAAAACGGTTGACTGATAGTCAGCCGATAGTCAGGGATGAGTTTTTTTTGTTTTTTGCAACTCTTTCGAATGATTTAAATTGATTCAAGTTGATTCAAATTGATTCAAATCGATTCTAATTGATTCTAATTGATTCAAGTTGATTAAAATTGATTAAAATTGATTAAAATTGATTAAAATTGATTAAAATTGATTCTAATTGATTCTAATTGATTCAAGTTGATTCTAGTTGATTCTAGTTGATTCTAGTTGATTCAAATTGATTCAAATTGATTCTAATTGATTCTAATTGATTCTAGTTGATTCAAATTGATTCAAATTGATTCAAATCGATTCAAATCGATTCAGATTGATTCAAATTGATTCAAATTGATTCTAATTGATTCTAGTTGATTCTAATGATTAAAATTGATTAAAATTGATTAAAATTGATTAAAATTGATTAAAATTGATTCAAATTGATTCAAATTGATTCAAATTGATTCAAATTGATTCAAATTGATTCAGATTGTTTCAAATTGATTCAAATTGATTCAAGTTGATTCTAGTTGATTCAAATTGATTCAAATCGATTCAAATTGATTCAGATTGATTCAAACTGATTCAAGCTGATTCAAACTGATTCAAATGATCAAACAATGATCAAACAGCTTAGAAAAGCTTTTAAATGACTAATTTCAAATTTTAATGTCTTTGAAGTATATAGTGATCAATGAGAATCAAAATTCTCATTCTAAAACCACGAAATATTCAATCTAAACAATGAGGCCGGAAATAGGCATTGCTAGTGTGAGAATGTCAAAAAAGGAAATATGATTGCTTAGATCAACAAAAAAAAAGGAATTGATGGGCTTTTTTTGATTGGAACCCACTAATTCACACAATAAAGACCCCCCAAAATATAGTGAATAGAAAGGGGACAGGACAGCTCTCAAAATAGATATTATTGACTATTGATAAGAACCCCGTGCTTGCTATTTTCTTGCCAATTCTCTAGAAAAATACGTCAAACTATGCACTCTCTTTCTATTGCTTTCAATTTTTGATCTCTTCAAAAGAAACGCGGAAACAGACAAACAGACAGACAATAAATGCAGTTTTCGATTATCTAGATATCTAGATATCTAGATAATCCAAAACTCTCGATATCTAGATATCTAGATTCTAGACCGCGATTATCTAGGATAATAAAATAATGGAATGGCAAAGAAACATTTCCGGAGAGGAGATTGAACCCTCGACCCCCTGCTTTCCGGGCAGATCACTGACTGGACCACTAACCACTGAGCTATTTGGTAGCTTGTTACCGTTGTTGTTAAAAGCTTGTTGTTAAAAATGAGGAAATACAAGGGAAAAGAGAAGGAAATACCCAACTCTTCACAGACTTTTTGTTAGTGAATTGCATCTCTTGCTAAGTGAAAACAGTACTCCAAAAAGTACTCCAGTACTCCAAAAAGTACTCCAGTACTCCAAAAAGTACTCCAGTACTCCAAAAAGTACTCCAGTACTCCAAAAAGTACTCCAGTACTCCAAAAAGTACTCCAGTACTCCAAAAAGTACTCCAGTACTCCAAAAAGTACTCCAGTACTCCAAAAAGTACTCCAGTACTCCAAAAAGTACTCCAGTACTCCAAAAAGGAGTACTTTAAGCATTCTTACCGTTAAAATAGTAGAAATTAGGTTTTGTTTAGGCAGAAGTTAGGTAAAAATAGAGGTAAGATTACCGATTTCCGAAATTTCCGAAAAAGACTTTACTCAGGGATTGACTCACTAGCGATAACGTTTTAAAGATGCCGAAGAGTTTTAATGATGCCCAATCTCTTTGACTTCTACGGAATACTTGAGAGAAAATAGAATAAACTTTATCTTTATATAAGAAAGCTACCGAATAGCTCAGTGGTTAGTGGTGTGGTTTAAGTTGATTTTTGAAATGATTGAATCCAAAAATCTCTCAAATCAAACTGCTAAAAACGGAACGTTTGAAGAAACGCTGAAAAAACATTTGCCAATCACCCATTAAAGACCGATTAAAGACCCATTAAAGAAAACATTCACAGGGTACAGTTGACCTCAATTTATGAGTAAAATCAATAGTTTAATAGAGTCAGGAAAACGCAGCGGTGCAGCCAAGCCTTATAATCAATAGTTTTTTTTGATTAAGTTTAAAGTTTTTCAAAATTCTCATGATTTCTATAGTTTTTATAGTGAGAGTGAGAGAAATTTAACTTTCAAAGAGCGGAATTCAAAGAAACTTCTCAATTTCCGGAGTAAAAAAGCTCAGAATAGTAAAAAGTACTATAGAAATAGGTTCTTTTTTGTCTCTGACTATGAAAGGATATCAAAAGATAGAAAAAGTCGATGAATTAGATAAGATAAGATTACGGTAGAAAGGGGCACGGTTTAGGAACGAACTCGATGTAATTTCTACCAGTTTATGTGCTCAAGAACTTAAAGTAGTCGCAAAGGTGACAACCAAATTGTAGAAGATCAAATCCTGAAGATCTAGGGCTACTTATTAGAACGACTAACATATTAGAACGACTAACAGAGTCAGGAAAACGCAGCGGTGCAGCCAACTGATAAAATGTTCACCCAATAGGCCAAATATTGGCACGTTCGAATCCCCAGCGATGATCATTTTACTTTTCCCCAGTTCATACAATGCACAACGCCGCGAAAAAATTTTCTGGTCAAAATTCAAGTTTGACATACCATTCAACGTGAAAAATTGCGCTGATTCCGAATCTGAAACTTTTTTTAAAATCGATTCGACAGTTTTTCTTAAAAATGAGATTTACCCAAAAATCCCATTATGGGTTTTCTAAAAAGCACTCGAAAACCCGTATTTCAGGATGGATCAAAAATCCCCGGCGAATTTTTAAAGATATTTTCTTTCTGGTCATTTTAAGACCAAAAACGTCAAAATCCATTGATTTTGAGGTCAGATAAATCGTTTTTAAAATCGCAATGGATAACCTACCGTAACCCGCGCACAATAGCTTCTAGATCATTGCAATGATCTAGCGGTTAGAAAAGGATCAATTCAAAATCAATTCTAAATCAATTCTAAATCAATTCTAAATCAATTCTAAATGATAATAAACAATAAATCAAAATATTCATCTATGCGATTCACTATAGCTTTAGCAGAAAGCGTAATCCTCAAATGAGATATTTTTAGTCTTCGCGCAAAAATCTCGTAAACGATGAGCGCGATTTCATTATTTTCCATCGGGATCCCGAAATCTAAATTTTAAAAAAAACAACGTTTTCGAGAAGAGGACTGAATGACGAAGTACTTTTTTTGCTTTTTTTCTTTCTTTCTTTCAATCGAAATGCCCACTTCATTTCTCTGCGCTGCAAGTGTTTATTGAAAGAAAAAGCCTAGAATAGAACCCTTGAAACTCATCAAAAACGAGAAAATTTTGATAAAGTGCCGAATGGCGGTGATGTAAAAAAGTACACGTGACGAAATGAAATGAGTGCAAAACCAAAAACACTAAGCAACTTGTGCTTGTGTATTTTGTGCTGTAAACAAACCCTTTCTAGTGCACTGATTTCTTCACTTTTCTTGTGTGAAATCAAGTCATTGCTATAAGAAAAATTGGAGAATACGCCGCTAGAGCAAGAGTGGATTAGAAAGGGTGCGTTTACAGCTCAAATAACCCAACTAGCTTTCGTATGCACGGGTCGATGCACTTATTGTCCAAGCAAGCAGCTCAATTACCCTTGCCTCAATCTCTGAAAAGAAATCCCATTGAAATGGGGAGTGCAAAAACCGAAAGCTGAATGACGTTTAAGCTTAAGCGAAAGCTGAATGACGTTTAAGGCTAAAGAACAATAAAACAAAAACAAAAAAAGTACTGCAAATGGTTTAAAATATGTTCCTCTCAAATAAGGCATCTTAAATGTTATCGTTTAAGATGTTACCTTAGATGATAACATATAAGATGTTAGCTTAAATGATAGCATTACATCTTAAGTGTTATCATTTAAGAGGTTGCTTAAACGATAACATATAAGACGTTATCTTAAACGATAAGATATTATCCTCAATGATAGCATTACATCTTAAATATTATCGTCTAAGAGGTTACTTAAACGATAACATTTAAGATGTTATCTTCAATGATAACATTACTGATGATAACAACAATGATAATGATCTTAAATGTTATCATTTAAGATGTACGATGTATATTTAAGAAAAAAAACTATCAGTAAAGAGTACCATTTTTTAAATATTATTTAACAATAAAAAAATTTCGAGAAACCCTTTATATAAGGCTGCCAAGAAATCTATTCAGTTTTTCGACTGAATATCTTATTCGAAAAAAGTTTTATACAAAATGAAAACAAAAATATAATAAAAGATATTCAATCACTTGACTGAATATCTTATTTGGGAAAGCTTTTCCAAAACGAAAGCAAGAGGATATTCATTTGTTGACTGAATATCTTATTTCGGAAATCTTTGATACAAAAAGAAAACTGAATTGCTCGCAATTTTACGTCAAAATTTTAGAACGCTTTTTAGAACGCCTTATTTGACGTTTATTGAGGTTTATTGACGTTTATTTGACGTTTATTTGACGTTTATTTGACGTTTATTTGACGCGTCATTTAAATAAAAAATTATTTGAGTAAATTTATTCAAATTTCTTTGAGAGAAACAAACTCTAGTCAAAACTAGGCAAACTTTTTCTTGTCTACCTGCATCCATATGAATTGAAAGTGAAAGAATTCAAGGGTACTGTAATGTCTAATAGAATTATGATAAGTTTCCCCATTTAGGTGGCTTCGTCAACACCCTCGAGTCCTCTCTCTCCCATGGCGACCGATGATTAAACGATCGGAGAGAAGCAATGCGATTGATGTGCTTTGCTCAGGAGTGCTTGGGCATGAGGTGAGCTTACAGTTTTGAGATTTGTTTACAAGGGGAACAAGGAGTGCTTGGGAATGAGGTGAGCTTACAGTTTGAGATTTGTTTACAAGGGAAGACAGTCCTGATGGAGCTATGGGCTACAAGTTTTAAAGCGATATTCTCAAAAAGGTTACCGCATTTGGAGTTTATTTGTGCAAGCCTATTAATCCTAGAATGAATGCATTGCTCAAATCATTAGGTCCTATGGGACGCTATCAAGTCCTATGGGACGCTATCAAGTCCTATGGGACGCTTTGTTATCTTTCAAATCACTTAAACGTTGCTCATGAGATTCCACTTCTAGGATTACCGTAGTTCCTTGTAAGGTTTAAGAGTTTAAGTTTTACTCTAAAGCCACAAAATGAGAATTGAAGCTTAAAAACGCTAAAAGCTTAAAAACGCTTAAAACCACAATATTACAGGTGCCCATCGAGCAATGGAACCAATTCTTCGTGGAGCCAGTTGAGCCGTTCACTCAGGTGAAAATAGATATAAAAAGATATCTGATAAAGTTTTTAAAGAAAAGAAAATGATGAGAAAACCCTCGAGAAAACCCTCGAAGAAATTCTCTATTTTAAGCAGCCGACTAACGTCAGGAGACTAAGCGGGGCCATTCTTCATATAGGGATTACTCTTTTTTTTTTTTCTGGGATGAAACGATTTCGAAATCGACTCATCCCCAAGAAACGTTGAGGCCAAAAACTTTCAAATGTTTGACGTATAAAAGTATCCACGTGAGAGACTCGAAAATATTCCCGAGTTTGACGTAACATTCTCCCTCGAGCGGCAATAACCGCATTTCTAAAGCGCGCTCGCTCTTCGAGTTCTGCCCCCTTTTCTGGATTGAATTCTGAAATTGGGGGCCCTTTTTCACATCATCCACATCACATCCATTGTTACCTTGTTGTCGCCAAAAATTCCTCTTTGTTGAGTGATTTGTGAAGATTTGACGAGACTTCAAAATACCTCCTGGCTACTTGCGACCAAAAACGGGAAGACTGAAAGCTGTCTAGTGATGAGGAATACTTTTTAGTCCTTTGTTAATGTACCTACTATTAGGGTATGTTTAGTAAGTGTTTGACTAAAAATTTCCGACAACAATTTGCAAATGTGCAAGTTTTTTGTATTTTTAGTGGCTAAGCGAAACTTCACTAGACGGCTTTTCCAGTTTGCAGAGACTCGAAAAAACGCAACGCTTCGCCCAAAAATCGAAATCCAATTTAGGAGGAACGCCGCGATTGGTTAGCCGAACAGAGAAATGTAGTGATGTCTTCGGATGCCTTTCTCCCGTTCAGAGACAATGTCGATTGTGCGAAACAAGTAAAAAAAACCGAAACCTGATATTTCACAACTACGGCATGCCCCTCTTGGAGTTTTCTAAAAGGCATTTGTACTTTGATAATTGACTACGGTAATTTCCCAAAAGACGCGCCTTTTAGAAAACGCATTGACACACCCTATTCACAAAACCAATTTCAGTTCGGTGTCGGCTACATCGCTCACCCGGGGGGCTCTGTTCGCGATGACGAAATCAAAGAGGCCTGTGACGTACACAAAATCGTGCTCATCCACACAGGACTTCGCCTCTTCCACCATTGAATAACATTGCGTAAATTTGTTCATCTTTTCCTTTTACACTCTTCTTACTTGTACTTGTATTCTTTTGCCAGCGAATTTTAGTTTCTATCCAACGAATCACATTTCGATCATTGCGGGAGTGTTTATTTGAAATAAATCAACGGTAAAGTGTACACGTTTAAAAGCGAGATCCGTAAACAATGAGCATCTTACAACAACAAAGTGAAAATTACAAGAAAAGACAAAAACACGTACAACTTATTCGCCTCGAGCACGGCACAAAATCTCCATAAAAGCGCAGATGAAAGCCTCGAGATGAAAGATTGCCTTAAAATTATGAAATATATATTATAAAAATGAAGGAACTTGGGTATTATCGAAACCAAATTCTCCTTACCTTGTTCCCTTTTGTGAGTCCATATTCTCGTTCAGCTGCAACAGCGACCACTTCAGCCTTCACTTGTGCCGGGGTTGATTCCAAAAGATGACGAAGTAGCTCCTAAATTTAAGTGTTTTTAAAACAAAATTTGAAAGACTAGAGAAAAGCACACATTTCAATAAAAATTGTACCTGGAAAATCAACGCAGGAGGAATGCATCGACTAATCACCTCGTAGAGACGTTCACGAACCTAACAAGTTTTCATTTTCAAAGCATTTCAAATAAAAGCCTTACTTGCATTAAACAATCGGCGGTTTGCTTCCTCAAAATCAAATCTGCAGTTTCACGAAGGTACGTTTCCCACTCTGGTTCGGGAACCTAAATTATCCAGTTAACAACTTACATTAGAAAAGCTCACCTTTTGTCCTTCACGCAGTGGATTATATTGAGCTTTTGAGCTCTCGAGTAGCAACAGGGCACGACGTAAATTTCCGCGACTTTGATTTAAGATCTAAAACTCGAATTAACTAGAGAACTAAGAAAACATTTTAAAGGCTAACCTGCATCATGACCGTCTCAGGAATAGGGCCGACAGCTTCGGTATGAGCAACAAATCGAAGTACACCAGAGATCGGAAAAAAATTTATAAAAAGTTACCTGGCATCGCAAAATACCTCGGCATCTGTTGGGGCTGGAACTCGGAGCATCATACAACGGGATCGAAGTGGATCGAGAACTCTTGAAAGCGATTCGCACACAAGGATTAGGCGGCAATTTCCTAAAAGTTGTTGTTAATTAATGTTTAGGCGATCAAAAACCTGAATAGGCTTCCATTGTGCGCCGAAGAGCGTGTTGAGCATCACGAGTCAACGAGTCAACTTCTCTGAGAACGACAACTAAAAAAACCCAATTTAAGTAAGATTGAGGAGCAACCTTTGAATCCTTTTTGCGCTTTCTCGTTAAGCTGATGAGTTTGAGCCATTTGCTTGATAACCTCTTGGACGATGATTCGATCGTGCACTCCAACATCCCTAAATTTAATAATTTAGATAAATAAAACTAGAAAATACCCAGGCGTCAACTCGATGTGATAATTGCTGCTAATCGTTTGAATTTCCAGTTTCTTCCCGCTCGCTGTCGTGAATCCACGCGTCTCCAAGCGCAATCGCCCAGCTCCAGCACCATATAATTCCCTACAAAACAAATGCATAATCCTCTAAAAGTAAAATGCATCTAATGTCAAAAAAATTAAAAATTAAAAATCACTTTAAAATACAGCGCACCCTCGTTGACTTGCCAGCTCCGTTGGGCCCATAAACGAGTAGATGTGGGAAGTCATCAGTCGACACAATTTCGCGGAAACGGTCCGTCAAGTCCTAACAAAAAAGAAAACGTTTAAAACTAAAATACTGTAACGTACGCTATGATAAGACAGGTCATTGAGTTGAGCCGGTCGATATTTGTCCACCCAGAGAGCCATTTCAAACCTGGAATTTATTTTACACAAATATTAAATACTTAAAGCAATAGGTAAATAATTTAAGGCATAAAATCAAGCACAGTATCACAATAGCCGGAATTGTTCAAAGTTACAAATGAAAAAATTGCACACAAAATTAGAGACTTAAAGAGAAACTCCAGGCGAGACGAGTCCCTTGTCCATGAAACGTTTTCTAGCAAAACTCAGCCACCACTTCGAGGGTTTTTGATTCGCATCGGGAAAGGTCAACTCGCAAAGTCGCACTCCAAGCTCTTGGCGCAATTGCTGCAAATAAGCACGCATCGTTTCCTCTTCCATCTTGTCCCGTGGCGGTTTGTACATGCTGTTCAAGGGAAAACCGGATTCTCCAGGAATTGGAAGCTGAGACGATAAAGCTAGCATTGCCAGATCCTTTTGTCCATTGTTCTTGTTTGGGCTTCGTTGCAGCTTTCGCAGACACTCCGTGACGTAAAATGTCAAGTAGATCAACGTACGATCACCGGGTCCTTTGATCTCGAATTCACGGAAGAAGATATTTGGCTTGAAATAGGTTAACGCCTCATCGATGATATCCTCGCCATCCGTTCGTGGAGCTGGGCCTTTGAACGAAGTTCGCAAAGGCAAAAGTCCAATATTGCCGACAAGTTGCGTCGTCTCGAATTTTGAGTGGTAAGCAGGCATCCTCCAGAAACCTGAAAACTTTAAACATTACATCCCACACTCAATAACTGTTACAAAACAGCAAATAGCAAAAGCTTCAAACTTTGAGAAAATAAGAAATGCTTATCAAAAATTTTATTAAAAGTCTAACACAAACAAGAACAATATGTACAACGCAATAAACTAGTCCTAAAGGGAAATTACAATTTAATGTCGTTTCGGTAGAGCCAATCCGACGAGGTTCGCGCTTTCTTCTATCGATCTTTCTCCTCCTTTGTATTGTTCTTGTAATGCGAGTAGTCTTCGTGTACTAAAGAACATTTGTATCATCAAAAAAAATAGAGAAAAACTACCTGCTCAAGTAGGAAGCATAAAGATGAGCGACATGTTCCATTTCGGTGGGGGCTTTGGAAAATAACCGTTGAGTGACCTAAAATAGGCAACATTGTGCGCCCATCTTCAACGGAACATTTCTTTCTTTTTTTTCGGCAGCAAATTTTCAACTACATTTGTTTTCACTGGATGGCTTTTTGCAAGAGATTTGGGTCCAATGTTCTTTATGACTAAAATATTCTTTGAACCAAATAGTCTAACGTTGAACCCTCCGAGAAAAGCAACTTCTAGAACTTTTCAACGCTCATCAATTTACGATAATGCCAATTTACCATAAAAATACCTGATGTCCTCGCATTTGATCCATGAGGTATTGATATTGCGGAGATTGGCGCCCAAACGATTTGTCGGTCATCCTAAGCTCTTGCACTATCCGGCGGAAAGCCCGCAAAGCCGACGCGCTTTTCTCAGCTGTTGCCATATCTAAATTTCAAAAATTGTAAAAAGATGAAAAGTTTAAAAACAACGATAAAGTAACACTATCTGCAGAACACATTATGGGGGGAAAGGGGCAGCTTAAAAGAGGAGAACAGGTCCGCGCCAATTCGATCGACGTGCAGAGGAGTGACATGTTTTTTCTAGTTACTCAGCCCATTGTTGACAAACATTGAAAGTTTTTACAAAGGGCTAAATTTAGCATTCCTCGTTTTCTCAAAAGTCTATCATTAGTAGGGGGTCAGGAGATTTTAGGCAGCAAAAAATCGATCGGCTTTAGGGATTTTGAAGTTACGGAGAAAAGCCAGAGACAAGCTCTCTCTGGATCTGAGCTGAATCTCTTTTGACTGTATAAAACAAAGGTAAAAGCGGCTACTGATCTTTCGGTTTTGGCTGAATATCTTCAATTTGTAAATTCAAAGAGTATAAATAGTTGCGCAAAGAAACCTGAGCAGTTGCTTTTTCCACACAGTTCAAATATCGAACACTTTTTCTCTGCGTCTTTCGAACGGAATTTTCCCATTGTCAGCCTCAACCATATCCTCAAGTTGTTCTTTCAGAGATGTTGAACGAGGGAAAGGGCTGCCAGGGCGACGGATGCGACAAACCGGCCAAAATGCGATGCCCGACGTGCATCAAGCTCAATTTGCCGGATAGCTTCTTTTGTGACCAAGTCTGTGTTTCTGAAACTTATATGAAACGTTGGGTTTTAAAATCGATGGGTAACTTCATCGTTTAGGAATGCTTTAAGAAGAACTGGGGGAATCACAAAGCCGTGCACACTGTAGCTGAATCGAACGCTCCGTACAACCCTTGGCCAGCCTACAAATTTACAGGTGGGGTTTTGGATTTCTATGGGTTTCAACAACTTTCCTTGTTTTTATTAATTGGATAATTTTAGGCGAGCTTCGTCCTGCACGACTTTCATCGACGCGGCAAGTTCCCAAGCATATTCCGGTTCCGGATTACGTTCATCACCCAGAAGGAGTCTCTTTTGAAGAACTACAAGCCAAACGAAATCGGGAAGTGAAGGTAAGTCTTTGAAAGGAGTCGGTATCATATGTCGTGTTTAGGTTCTTACTGACGAGGAGATTGAAGAGCTTCGTGTTGCTTGTCGTCTGGGACGTGAAGTTCTTAATGAAGTAATGTGATTGCTATTTTATTCCCTCATCACATTTTTAGGCAGCAAAAGCTATTGCACCAGGAGTGACCACAGATGAAGTAGATCGAGTGGTACACGAGGCTTGTATCGAGCGAGACTGTTACCCTTCACCACTGGGGTTAGTTGTGTTTTCAAGTTTGTAACTTCTAAGTTTAGCTATCACAAGTTTCCAAAGAGCTGCTGCACTAGTGTCAATGAGGTGATTTGCCACGGAATACCGGACATGCGGAAGCTAGAAGATGGTGATTTGTGTAATGGTTCGTTTATTGACCAGATTTGTTATTTGATTGCTAAATATTAAGTTGATGTGACAGTCTATCATCGAGGCTTTCATGGTGATTTAAATGAGTCATTCTTCGTTGGGAAGGCGAGAAAATTTATATTTAAAAAAATTAATGCTGACTCTAGGTTGATGAAGCGTCGAAAAAACTGGTTTCGGTGACATACGAATGCTTGCAAAAAGCTATTGAAATTGGTTTGCAAATATTTTCGTCAATTTTTAGTCTTCACTTTAGTACGACCCGGAGTCAAGTTTCGTGACATCGGTGATGTGATTCAGAAACACGCGAACGCTCATGGGCTTTCTGTGGTGAAAACATATTGCGGGCATGGGATCCATCGGTAAATTCAAACATTTTTTTCTTTAAATCCTTTTTTGTTTAGTCTCTTCCACACTGCTCCAAATGTTCCACATTATGCAAGTAAGTGGACCCCTTTTTATTTAACCAAAAAATTAGTGCCCTTGTGGGAACGTGGCATATGGGAAGTACTATATTTTACCGGTATCGCTACTGGCGATGGAGGTATAATTTTTCTTGAGTGTTTAAGAATACGTTATCTAGTTGGCCGATTTAGCATTTAAATTTTAGAAAATACCGCAAAAGGAGTGATGAAAGCGGGAAACGCCTTCACAATTGAACCAATGATTAACGCGGGTTCATACAAGGATGATCGCTGGCCTGATGATTGGACAGCAGTCACTGTAAGTAAACGGATATTTAAATTGCTAGATAACGTGTAAAAAGGCTTCTGGACCACCAAAGCTAAAGAAGAATATAAAGGTTTTGAGATCAAAAGTTTAAAGTATTACTTTAGGCCGACGGAAAACGCTCCGCGCAATTTGAGCAAACGCTGCTCGTCACGGAAAATGGATGCGATATATTGACGGCGCGTTCGACTGGACAGCCTTGGTTTATGGAGCAATGCTAATTCTATTATTTTGTACTGTTGTCATATTAGGTTTGTTTTGTTTTAAAATTGTTGTACGATTTCTTTTTAGTTACTCAATTACGAAATTTTAAGATTGAATAGTTAGACGGTTTTTGTGATCTCAAGTTTGCCAATTGCCTTGTTGCTGGTTTATCGTTGAAGATTTACTTTGGTGATAAAAATCTTGTGCAAAGCTTGAAAGTCATTTCAAAAGCTCACTTTGCATACTGAATTTCATTCGTTTTGTAATGCTCAAAAACAGCGTTGCCATAAACAAGCTCAGAAATTGGATTAGAGAGCGAAAAGCATCAACGATTAACTTTCCAACGAATAAATCCTAATGGGTAAACAGTTGGTTTTGCTATTTATCTACTTGAGCAGAAAACACTACGACTACCCCATTTAGCACTCATTCATGCGTCCTTAATTCACTCAAATCCCTTTGATAGTTGTTTTATTTTCAATCCTTTCTGTCGATGTATTGGAATGCCGTTTTTTGATTGAGGCTACTAGAATAATTGTATTTAACATACTTCACAAAATTTCGAACAAGAAAAACAGCATTAAAAACGAACCATTGATTATCAAGAAAAAATGAAATATCAAAGCTGGCCAACAAAAACTATTTGCCTATATTAGTTCCAAAAATAATAACAATGATTTTGCCAGCCCTACAATAACCCGTTTCTTAACAGAGTCCAACAAAAAATAAAACCACTTCACATTTTACTTCTTCTGTTTGTCTTGATCGTATGCCGGAGAGCTCGGGCTGTACTGGGGAGAAGATGGGGAATACTAAATTAAATATTGGCCAACATTAAATCTGAAAGGTACCTGAGGAGAGCTTGGCGAATACTGTGGAGAACTTGGACTGTATTGTGGTGACGATGGCGAATACTAAATTTAAAATGAAAGATTTCAACGGTAAGAAACTAACCGCATTTGGTGATGCTCCCGAGTATTGTGGCGACGATGGCGTATACTAAAGCATTTTTGTAAAAAAAACAAACAAACACAAACCTGAGGACTTGATGGCGTGTACACAGGACTTGTAGGTGAGTACTGTGGTGACGAAGGAGTATACTAAATGAATCTCGTAAACATCGATAAAATTAATTCCAAACTCACCGAAGGTGAAGCAGTTTGGCGCATCGGGGAGCTTGGACTGTACTGCGGCGATGAAGGCGAGTACTGTGGAGAACTTGGGCTGTATTGCGGACTGCTCGGGCTGTACTGTGGGCTCGATGGAGAATACGTCGGCGACGCTGGACTGTAAGCCGGTGAAGTTGGCGAGTACCTAGAAAAATATGTATCAATGAGAAAACGAAGACTAGTACAAACCTTGGGCTCGACGGGCTAAAGCCACCACTTGCACCTCCTCTATACGTCGGACTCGTCGGTGAATAAGCCGGTGATGTTGGTGAATAAGTTGGAGAAGTCGGCGAATACGACGGACTTGTTGGTGAGTACCTAAAGGAAACATTTTATATGGACGTACAATTAGATGAATAAATGTTAAAACATACGTTGGACTCGTAGGGCTGTACGTTGGTGAAGTCGGACTGTAACTTGGTGAAGTCGGAGAGTAGGAAGGAGATGTTGGCGAGTAGGACGGACTTGTCGGTGAATAGCTTGGCGACGTCGGGCTGTAGCTTGGACTCGTTGGAGAGTAGCTTGGACTTGTTGGCGAATACGACGGCGAAGTCGGAGAATAGCCTGAATATTAGTTAAAACGATTTTCAAACATTGTCTAACTTGGTGACGTTGTACTGTAGCTGGGGCTCGTTGGCGAATATGAGGGTGATGCCGGAGAATAGCCAGGCGACGATGGTGAATACCTAAAAGTTTTTGAACTTGATAAGAAAAACCACACCAACCGTGGGCTAGCAGCAGTATATTGAGATGCCGGACTTGTTGGACCGTATCGTGGAGATGCGAGAGCATCATACAACGATGGCGAAGCTCCTCCTCCCGGCGAGTATCCGCCTCTTGGTGACATCGCTGCTCCTGGTGACCATCCACCGTCACTAAAACATATACATGAAGTGAATACTTAAATTTTCGCAAACATACCTATATCCAGGACTGAATCCAGCTTCCGAAGCACCTCCTGGAGAAAATGCAGCACCACCCGGAGTCATTCCAGAGCCACCAATAGGGGACCAAGCCGCACCACCATACGAGGGAGTTGCTCCCGAGATCCATGGAGTAGATGCGGGAGACATCGAAGAACTAAAGTTTTCCTTTAAAGTAAGCCCGGTCATTAATAGCTACCTTGCGGGGCTTTGTCCACCAAACATTCCATGTCCAATAGCTTGATAGTTCATTGAGATTTCCATTCCTTGCTTGCACTTCTCCGAATCGAGCACGAGATCGAAACAACCAGTTCCCGCTTTAGCCAACTGTCCAAGCATGATGTTTTCAGAGACTCCTAAAGATAAACAGGTAAACTTTAAATCTTCTATGTTTTGCCTTTCACTGGGTCCATTTCTGCGTGAGCGGCCGCTTCCATCAAAATGTCGACTGTTTCTTCGAAGGAACATCTCATCAAAGCTCCGACTTCTTGCCGATTGATTCCATGTCGAGTAATTGCCATCAAGTGTCCTATATAAATTTGTTTGTGATTCAATGTACGTCCTCACCTTTTGCAGTCATAACATCACAGAGCAACGCCAAGTGCCGATAGTTGACGTAAGATCCGTCAAAGGAAATAACTTGGTGCATCTCACGCTCAATTGCTTTACGCACAGCCTCGATTCCAAGAACCTAAATTTAATTTTAGAAAGGGATCAAGTTAATTAGATTTCACCTCAAAGATTTCACAGATGTCATTAGAAGTAGTGCGTATAGGATCAACGTTTGGCTGAGACAAAACTTGAAGAAGAGCTGTCCCGTCAGTCTCAAGAAGCCACTCGGGAATTGCCTTGAATCCTCCCTCCGGCGTGATCACAATCCTCTTTTTATCGTCCGTGGTCGGTTTGTGCATGTACACCTAAAAAAGATTATAGTAAATTGACGAATGATAAGAATACCTTTGCGATCTGTTCGATTCCTTGTAGTGTCAAATCGGAGAGCATATTCTGTTCGAGGGCACGTAGGAAAGCATCGTCCTCCATTCGATCCACTTGCTCTTCGGTATCTCCTTTGTCTTGATCGTCGGAAACAATTCGAATGCGGAAAACCAAATTGTCAGCATTGTCGTCTGTGTAAATGACATTCAACGTTTCACCAAATGATTGCTGGATTCTCTCGGAAATTGCTTCCATCGATAACTTTTTGTCAATCATTCTAAAAATCGTCTAGATTTTAAATATAAAAAAATTTAAACCTCTTGCGATCAAGTTCAATTCGGAGTAGCCAAGGAGAACACCGTGAAGGATCAAAATCGGGCATCTCATAAAACATCGCCACCTAAAAAATTGGTAAATTAAGTAGGAACCTAAAGACACTAACCCATTCTTCGTCCTCCTCAATCACCGTACTCTTTGGATCCGGATCATAGTAGATAGCCGTGTTGGCGGTGACTTTTCTGAGAGTTGTGTGTTCGAGCTTGCACAGCACATCCTTGGCTTTTTCTGCATCCTTTGCCGCCGCACCAGTGAGAAAAACGGTAAGTGAGGGAGTTTTTGGCGACTTAGAAACATTGATGATTTCTTTGAGACGTGGTACTCCGAGGGTCACATTTTTAGCCGATACTCCTAAATACAAAAGGTCTTAGATTAAATCACAGAAAGCTTACCTGCAAAATGGAAAGTATTGAGGGTCATTTGTGTGGCCGGTTCTCCCAAAGACTGTGCTGCCAAAGCTCCAACCATTTCACCCGGCTGAGCTATCGCTTGTTGGAAACGGTGTTCAATCTCACCTGAAAGCTCTTAGTTTAAACAAATTAGGAGCAAGGAATTTGTAAAACTAGCGCAAAAACATACCCAACAACCATTCGAATCCTTCTTGATTCAGTCTGTACTTTTCGGCCATTTGTTTTGAGCATAGAGTGGATCGGAGAAGAATGTTCATCAAAAGCGTCGCATTATATTGAGCTTGTTGAGAGATGCGATCATCGCCAGATACAATGATCTAGAACACACAATATTAACTTCAGGTGAAACAAATGAGCCCACCAGCTTCTTTGAGAGTTCACGAACGCCTTCAATCACTCTGAGCGGGCTCAAGTTAGTTGGCTTCCTAATAAAGAAAATAAATTGAACGCAAAGATTTTTAACCTCGTTTCTACTTTGAAGATCTTTTGTGCATTCCAAATGAGGCGTTGCAAGTTGCACGGCAGTACAACTTTGTTATCACCTTTTGGGAAAATCTTTCTCAACAAACGACGATCATCCTCAAGCTTTTCCCATTCTTCTTCGGCCTTAATTAATATGTTTAAGCCTTCTTTAAAATCAAATCTTTACTTCTTTGAGCGCAATGGTAGAACCAGTGAGATCCCTGATAATGTCCTCATTATACACTTTTTGTAGAGCCTAAAGACAAAAGTTCACAAATCGGGATGCTAACGATGCACCTTGATATCGCTCAAGTCGAGTTTGAATTGTTTCTCAAAAGCGGCGTGCGGAAGCTTCATTGTTGCCATGATTTGTCCCTCCACCCAGGTTCCATCCAGTCCGTCTTCTCCGTATCGCAGCTGGACCATTTGTGCAATCGAGTTTCTCACCTAAAATTGTTTTGAAAGTCGTAAAAGCAATAAAGCATACCGTTCCATCATAGTTGACCATCACAGATTCCATAGCCTTGATCAAACGGCGTTGGATGTATCCAGTTTCTGCAGTCTTAACAGCCGTATCGATCAGTCCTTCTCGTCCTCCCATAGCGTGGAAGAAGAACTCGGCAGGAGTTAGACCGGCAAGATAGGAGTTCTCGACAAAACTAAACAGTTCAAAGTCATTCGTCTAAATCTTCCCACTAACCCCTTTGATTCAGGTCCATAGTCGTCTTTGATGAAATGTGGCAAAGTTCTGTGTCGGAATCCGAAAGGAATACGTTTACCTTCAACGTTCTGTTGTCCCACACAAGCAATAACCTAAAACCATTCGTTGGTAAAGTTTAGGAACGTGGATTACTTGTGAAATGTTGATTTTCGATCCTTTAGAGCCAGCAACCACCATCGATTTAAAGTTGTTGAACTCGGAAAGCGACTTTTGAGCCGAAGAGCCAGTTCGATCGCGGGCGTCATTGAGAATTCTAAAGTATCAAACTTCCTAAGTTCAGGTTATCAGAACTAACCTGTTAACCATGTTCTCAAATGTCTGTCGCAGAGTGTTTCCAGGACTTGGCTCCAATTCATCGTTGTGGGCTCTAGAAACAGCCATTATATATAAAGTTCCGAATTCTTACTTTTCGATGACTTCAATCACTTCATTTTTCGCCTTTTTGATCGTGTCCTGGATGTCAGTGTAAGTCGACTTGTCGGCAATGGTGTCTCCGATTCCAATCGTGTGTCCTTCCATGATCAACCACTGATTGACCAACTTCTGCACATGGGAGTAAAATTTGCCGGCAGTCTAAACAATACCAATAAAGAATTTGTTCAAGAGACATACTTCGTAGCCGAGCTCGTGCACAATAACATGCATCAAATTTCCAGAAGAACGTCCGACTGTCTTGGAGCAAACGATTCCCGAAATCAATTCGCCTTGCTCAATCAAAACCTAAAAAAAGCACTTTGTTTAGTAGGTTACAACACAACAAGCTACCTTAGTATCTCCAACTGTAAGCCATTTGTACGGTCCATTATCTTCATCGTCTGGATGAGTTGCATGTTTCGTGATAACATTGACAGCACCAGGAATGATGAGCGTGAAGAGTTGTTTGCCTAAAACAATTAAGTTGAATGTTAAGATTTTTAAACGTTACCTGTCCATAGAGGCCTCGGTTTGAGAAGGGCTGGCTGTGGAATTTTGCCATCCCAATCTGGCATTGACATAAGCAAGTCCATCAGACGTGGCTAAAAACAAAATTTTCCTAACATTTGGTCCTAACGTCTAAACTAACCAATTCAATGAAAACGTCCCTTTTGGTCATCATTCTAACTGCGCAAAGTGTGTCTTGCACAATCCCCATCACAGGCTTGTTGGCTTGAGGAGTAATCAATTGGCGAGGCACAAGTGCAATCTGTAAAATAATTGTTGCCAGTGAACATTTATGGATAAAGACCTCTTCAATCTCAGCTTTTGTTTCCAATGATTGAGGCAGGTGCAAATTCATCTCGTCTCCGTCAAAGTCAGCGTTGTATGGAGTTGTCACAGAGAGATTCATACGAAACGTCGACCATGGAAGAATCTAATAAGAACATATATAAACTAGAAACAACATCACTGACTTTTACACGATGGCCCATCATACTCATCTTGTGCAGCGTGGGCTGGCGATTGAAAACAATGATGTCACCGTCACGCATATGTCGCTCCACTCTAAAAAATATTGTTCGCAATTTTGAGGCTGAAATCCCACTTGTATCCAGGCTGAAGATGCAAATCCGCTGCTCGTGGATGGTAGCGTAAGTCAACGCGTTCACCACTGTCTCTGATGATGTACTTGGCGCCTGGATATTGAGAATCTCCTCGATTTACCAGTTCTTGCATTCTAAAAGGAAAACTCAGGGCTGCAGTCTTTCACAAACATACTTGTCAATGTTGAATGGAGTCACAATTTCAGGAAACGTCATATTCTGTGCAATCGTTCGAGGCACGCCGACTGTGTCAATTGGAAGATTTGGATCAGGAGTGATGACAGTTCTGGCTGAGAAGTCGACACGTTTTCCCATCAAGTTTCCTCGAATTCGACCCTCCTTGCCCTTCAGACGCTGTTTGATTGACTTGAGCGGCCGACCTCCTTTTTGTGTAGCCTAAAAATTCAATAAACAATAAAAATCGAAGAACGTACCGTCGGAACACCAGGCATACAATTATCCACCATTGTAGCCACGTGAAACTGCAACAACGCGACGTTATCTGCCAAAACGTGAGCAGCTGCACCTTTGAGTTGATTACTAAATAATACAATAGAAATTTTAATGAAAAATCTGTAACCTTTTAAGCTCATTGTTTTGCTTTACAATATCGGCCAACTTATGCGTCAAATCGTCTTGATTCCGAGCTGATCCAAATGTGACAACAGCTGGTCTAAAGTTTTAAATAAAAATAACGTACGAATTGCGTTGTTTATACCTCACGGCAAGAGGTGGCACAGGTAGCACAGTTGCGATCATCCAATCGGGCCTTGCATAACGTGGATCCATTCCTAAAACCCGCTAGTAAAGGCAGAAACAAATGAAACACTTACCAATAATTAGACAATCCTCATCGGTTACACTTTTAAAGACTTCGAGAGCTCTTTCAGCAGTGACAATGATTTTGCGCTCCTAAAGTTTAATAGGTTGTTAGTAGCTTCATTACAGTTTTTACCTGTGTATCCTCATTCACATTTTTCTTCCATTCACCATGAATTTCAAGGCCAACTTTTCGATATGTAGGCTGATAGCGTCCACAACCACCTTGCCGAGTTGGTTTGTCTGGATCAACTTCTTCAGCTTCCTACAAATAGTTAACATTAAAAATTGAGCAAGTAAACAATAACACGCTAAATAGCAACCGTACATCGACTGGAACCTCCGTGCCAGTATCACACACAGTCTTTGTCTTACATTTGTCGTAAATCATAGCAAGTCGTTTCCGTGGATTTCCCTAAAGCTAATCAATTATACACCAGAAAATTCAGTTTACCTGTGTTTTCTTGAGAATCTCTTTGATTCCAGGATTTTCCTTGTCCAGAAGCAAACGACTGCAGTAGAAACAAACACATCGAAGAATCTAAAAGTTTAATTTAACACAATTCAAGCAATAACGGCGGCACCTTTAGTGATTTGTTAATGAATCCGACATGGTAGACTGGAGCTGCCAACTCGAGATGTCCAAAATGACCCGGACAGTTTGTTAGATCGCCGGAACATGTCATACAAGTGCCTCTAGAGTAAAAATGTGATATTTGACTGAAAGTTGCAAGTCCTACAGCATAAATGGGTAACGACACAAACAAAGTTTACTTTCTGTCAATGACTCCTTGCCGAGGATCCATCAATCCACCCAATTTTGGCTTCCCCTGTTCGTAGACTTCGGCAAATTCGATCTCGGCCACAGAAAACTTCCGCTACAAACCAAATTTAATAAAGTTAAGCAAATGAGTAGCTTACAATTTCATCTGGCCCCAAAATACCGAATTGCACCCTTTTTCACTTCCCTCAGTGGCGCGCGGAATTCAATTCCAACGAGCGCCATTCTAAACAAGAATCTTTGTAACCCTTGTGAATGAACTCATAAGAGTGAAAACGTGCTTTTATAGCACAAGAAGAAAGAGATTCGAAAGGGGTTTCGAAAACTCTGCCCGCGAAGAAGGAAATGGGCGTGCGCGGCGTTATCCACCTTTTAACAAGCACTCTTTCTCAACTGCAGTAAGGAAAAAAAAGTGCTGCTATTTCCGGGCCATTTTAATTAGAAATGGTGAAAGATTGCATAAACAAAGTTTATAACATTTCATAGATGCATTAGTCGAATAAAACTGAGTACGAAATGGGTGCTATAGTAGTTGGGAGGGGGGGCAGTTTGTAAACATCGGTTTTTTCGAACTTGCCACTAGTTTTAAAAACTTCTTCTCGGGTAATTAATTGCACTCAATCTATTGGAAGCATTTCTGAATCATTCTGAACAACTTGCATGCCAGTTTGAGCAACAATTCCGAGCCTTCAAGAGTGCTCCTATTTCTACTGGGTTCAGAGGTATGGGACCGAATTAAGGTTAAAACTTCAGTAATTGCTTGAAATAGCTAGAAAACAGTCACTAAAGCTTAAATAAATACCAAATTAAGAAGCTACGCCATTAAAAACCCTAGAAGCAAAAATTAGTGCGCCCTGGCTCAATAGAGATGAATGTACACAGAAAAACGCGTCCAAAGCTAGACTACGCAACACTCCGCACCGTCATTATGGGCGTGGCGTACTATTACAGTATTTACGGTAAATGAAAATGACGTTGCTTGAGTAACAAAAGATCCAAAGTTTCCGCAGTCAAAGGCAAAATCAAAAGATATTCAGTTAATATTCATCTAATATACCTGTATATAAATGGACTGGTGTAGTCCATTAGTAATAAACTCGAAAAATGATCCGTTTTGGCCAAAAAATTCAGGATTAGGGTAAAAAAATGCACTGATCACGAATCTGCAGTCAGCTTTTGAAAAAGTTGAAAACTAGCTGAGTTATGGAGTTGGCGGTGTTTGGGCAGAATTTTTTCAGCGTGACTACACGATACACCCAACTTAACCAAATATGAAACTTTTCATGTTGCTTAATAGAAGGGGAGTTGAATATAATATAGTAGTGCGATTCAAAATAAAAAGCCAACATTCAGTGGCACGATGGGGGTCGAACCCGCAGTGCCGTAGACACGTGGGTCGTGGACAAGCGCGCTCCCGACTGCGCCACGTCGACAAAAATCCAGACGAAAAACCCCGTCATTAGGCGGGTTTTTCGGCTGGTTTTGTAATGCAATTTCTTTGCGGAAGTAGTTAAAACAGCACCGAATAGAACACCCTCAAAACAGCGCCGTCAAATTTCTTACAATCCAAAAAAACCAATCCGATTTATACTAAAAAATTCCTTGTGTTCTTGGCTACATGATGAAAGAAACAGTTTTTTTAAAAAAAAAGTGAATATTTGATAGATAAAATTAGTGTTCAAATGTGTGTGCCGAGTGACACTCACAAGGGAAGATCAACTGGGTGTGTCGGCCAAATGAGATGAGCCAAATGAGATGAGCCAAATGAGATGAGCCAAATGAAATGAGTCAAATGAGATGAGTCAAATGAGATGAGTCAAATGAGATGAGTCAAATGACATGAACCAAATGACATGAACCAAATGACATGAACCAAATGACAAGTCAAATGAAATGAGATCGACCATGCAGAATTTCAGACTGAATCCGAATTTCCTTTCCGTTTTTCCAAAATGGCACCCTGTCAAAAGTTATAAACGTGCAAAGTTTTGTATGGGATTTCAAAAATCACACCCTGAGTTTATGATTTCCCAGAGGCTTTAAGAAGCAGTGATGACCGAGTAGCAGTGGTGACCGAGTAGCAGTGGGTTATTCTACAAGACAAAGCCTCTCTAGTTCAAGTCTCCCCGTTCTACTTTTTTTCTTTTGTTTTTTTGAATTTGTAAAGTAAATTGTTCTCCGTTTCAAATACAAGCTTACTTTTAACTATTAGCTACAACTAATAGTCAAAAGTAAACAGTTAAAAGTAAGTTAAAAGTAAACTTTTCACTAGAAACAAGCATGTAAATCCTCTTAAAATATTCAAACTTCAATAATACAACCAAAATGGATAGAAGAATTCCTTCAGTTTTCAGCTTTCTCTTATCCAAATGTGGCACTTCATTCAAAATATCACTTCACTTCTACTCATTTTGTAATGAGCTTTTACTAGCTAGCTTTTACTAGCTTTTACTAGCTAGTACTCTAGCTAGATCACTTATCAGAAAGAACCCCATCAATCCTTGTGTAAATCACTATCCCAACTCAGAAAAAAACCCAATCACTAACCATAAACTATGATCAATTCTCAGAGCTATTCCCATTTCCATTTCCCAATCCCAATCTCTCCTCTCCCCAATCAAACCTATCATCACTTTTCCCCCGCTTTTCCTACTTTTCTCAGGCAAGTTATTTGAGCAATTCTCTCTCCATTTACATCTATATCATGCCAAATAAGAGAAAATTTTATCTACTATTTACAGCTAATCACATGAACACAATACTTTTCGAGCAAGAACCTCTTTTCCAGTGAACTTCTCGATTTCACTCGTCTCTCTCAACTCATTTGACACATCTTTCAATTTTTGTTCCATTCCCGGGTTCGTCTAAAATTTATCACTTTGTTTTTTTTGCCCAACCTACCGTAAATACTGTAATAGTACCCCACCCCCTTCGTACAGTCGCGTAGTCGCAAAAGTTTTTTAGTATTTCATTTTTTCAAAGCGCCCGTAATTTCAAAAAATGCGTCTTTGATATCAAAGAATAGCTGAAATTCAGGGCTATTTTTTGATACCTAAGCGCGCATTGTAGCATAAACCAGTGTCGAGAAAAACTCGTTCAAAGCTAGACTACCCAACACTCCGTACCGTCGTTATGGGGGTGGGGGTACTATTACAGTATTTACGGTAGGTATTTTTATTTTGAACCTTTCCGTTCCATTGCCAATTTATCAGCTGTCAAATCCAATGATCCACAAATGGTCATTGTTTTTTTTTACTTCCTACCCAACTACAGTCCATCATTTTCCATGTAATTGTGATATTTTTATGTCCAAATTTTGTTAAAGAGTTGTTCAGTGTTCAACTTTGCAACTTTTTAACTTTCTCCTCTTTTGTGGATTTTCTTAAACCTGGGTGTGGTTACCAAAAGTCATTTTTCCCTTTTTCTTCAAATCCCATTTGATTTGGGTGGGTCTATTGATAATTTGGCTCTTTTTGAGCCAAATTATCAACTCTTTTAGACAACCCTGACTCACTAATCAACTCATCGAAATCTAACGCCTAAAATAGAAAAGAACTCGTTTTTCTTTTTCTTTTGGTTTAAAACCCACATCACTCTACCAAAAATTCTTTAAGCAGTGATTCTTTAAGCATTGAGGATGAGCCAAAACAGTTATTGCTTTTGTGAAGTTGTTATGGGGCGATCTAGATTGTCTAATTGCCAAGATTGTCTAATTGTCTAACGAAATAACAAATTATTTTAAGTTCTACAAACAGTTTAAAGTAGTTACAGTGGAAAAAACTTTAAAATGGTTACAGTATTGTAATTGTAATTGCTTACTGTGATTGGACTGTGCTTGGACTGTACTTATAGCAACCAAAAAAAGTTAGTATTGCTTTTGCCGAGTGTTTTTTGCAAAGATTTACATAGTCCAGTGCATAGCACCGATATCCTATTTGAAATATCCATTTGATTTTTCAGCTCATTTTGTTGTCATTTGAAAATTTCCAATTCCAACCCATGTTCAATTCCAACCCATGTTCTTTTCCTTTCGCTAGTCTACCGTTCTTGACCCGTCCGAAGTAGCTCCAAGACGACCTCGACACGAGAAAATCCGCCTTGTTTTTGTCGTATTTCTTTTTCATTTCTTTTTCATTTCTTTTTCCTTTCTTTCATTTTTTTTTTTGATTTCCTCTTTGATTTCCCCTTTTCAAGGACTTCCACCAATCTCTTCCCCACACCCCAAATGAGTCATGAAAATGATTTGTGTTTGAGGCTGTGTTTGAGTCTGTGTTTGAGTGTGAGTATTTGAACGGGTCGCTCATCTCCTCTCCCTATTTTCGATCCACACCTCCTTTCACTTCGATTGAGATTTCCGACTCTTTTTGGAGATTCTAATCTCGTCACTTTCATCATCGATTCCGCTAAACTTTCGATAATGAGGGAGTGAAAAAAGAATCGTCTATGCCATTTATATGAGTAGTCTTTGTCTGCAAAATGCCAGTTAAGAAATTCTCGGTTAAAAAAGAAAAGCTTTTGTTCAAGAGCCTAGATAAATGTTTTAAAAATTTGAACTTGAGTTTTGTTTTGTTTTTTCCAAAATTCTAAATTCCTAAAATCTTGTGGCCTGGATTTTGTCTGAAGAGTTGATAGTTGGTTTTATACTTTCAAAGTGTCCCCCTAAGCTCTAGTTGAAGATCTTTGATTTTTTTTGGGAAATTCAAACAAATTGAGCAGCTATGAAAGCTACGAAGCCCATTTTTCTGCGTAGATTTTTGCGTAGCTGTCCCTTTTGTTTGAAATTCTCCACGAAACTAGAAGATATTCAGCTGAGTCTCGTATTTACTTTGAAAGTATCGTTGGTTTTAAGATCCCTTGAACTGTGGATCCTGAGAATACTGTGGATCCTTAGAATGCTGTAGATCATTAGAATGCTGTAGATCATTAGAATACTATAGATCATTAGAATACTGTAGCTCCCTAGAATGCTGTAGATCATTAGAATACACATAGGATTCCCTATTAAACTTCTAAAACCTACTTTTAATCAGACTTCACTGCAAATCTATCGTCCTGATCGTCCATTTTTGGATGTTTGTTGCTTTTAACATAATCTGATAAGCTGAAACATACCTTTTCCTTTTCATAGATTAAAAAGTTCATGATTACAAGCCTTACGAAGCCTGTGAGCTTGGATTAAAAAGATCGGTAAATATAATAGTCACTCGGTGAATGAGTCTAGACCAATTGATGTCGAAAACTCTAGAAGCTCCTTCAAGTCCCCATCACCAGAATTCAAACAAAAAACATTGCAAATCACGCAAAATGTGTCAACTTCGAGACACATTTTCTGCTTTTAAAACTTCCGATTTTGGTGCCATTGCAAATTTTTCACAGAAAAATAGTTCCGCCCCATCACTTCTTCCTTTTCTTCCTTTTCTTCCTCCTCCTTTTCTTCCTTTTCTTCCTCCTCCTTTTCTTCCTTTTCTTCCTCTTCCTTTTCTTCCTCCTCCTTTTCTTCCACCTCCTTTCCCCTTTGAATGAATTCTTTGGCTATCACTGGGAAATCTGTTTGAGGGAAGGGATAACTGAAGTGAAAGTGCTCATTCTCACCCCTTCTTTCAATCATCCTCCCCTTTCTTCTCCATCCACGGTGTTCCAATTCGCACATTTTTTTTCGATTTTCTTTTTGATTGCTTTTTTCGATGCTTTGAGATATTCAATCTTCTTTTTTAGCAAGTTCTTTGGTCCCGGATTGACAATTTTTAAGGAGTTGAGCAGCAGACTCTTTCTGCTTTAACTTTTTGCCAGTTGAAGCTTTCAGGTTTGGTTTTCAACATCTAAAAACATTAAGAGTCGGTTTAATTACTCAGTTTTCATAGTTTTCTTTCGAAATCGACAGTTTACAGTAAGCTTTTTTATCAGATTCCTGCAAATTAGTGCCAAAGAGAAATCACTGAAGAGCTGAATTTTCCAGTATTTTTAGTTATTTCTATTTTTTTGTTACCGTAATTCATTTTCTATTCTGCACCAAATTTGAGCGATAAGTAAGTCTTTTCTTGCAGTAATCGTCAGCCTATATGCCAAATTAGCAAATGAAATTTGTTCAGATTGGTGGAACACCTTAATCGATTGATCGAAGCATCGATTTCCTTCAACCTTTCCTTTTCATTTTTCTTCTTTTATTGAGCGAATGTTGCGCTGGTTAGCCAGATGAGTGTCCACAAAGAAATCACCATATTTTTGCTACTTTTTTTCTTCTGCACAATTCCAGTTAATGGGAAAATTCAACAGGTAAAAAAGACTCAATTTTTACAGATTTTTAGATCTATTTATGCTATTTATTTATGCTTTTAAACATTAAAATTCAATGACTTTACTTGTTCAACTTGTAATCTGAATGGAATCTTGCAATCTGAATGCTTGCTTGTAATCTGAATGTAATCTGAATGCTTGCTTGTAATCTGAATGGAATCTGAATGCAATCTGAATGCTTGCTTGCAATCTGAATGTAATCTGAATGCTTGCTTGTAATCTGAATGCAAGCTGAATGCAATCAAAATGCTAGCTGTATCAGATCCTTGAATGCAATCTGAATGCAATCTGAACGCAATCTGAATGCTTGCTTGTAATCTGAATACAAATTTCCTTTTAGACCCCAATCGAGCTCTCATCTCTTTGCCGATCTCTACCAAGAGCCTCATTTCTTAAAGCACAACAAGTAAGCGAGTGTTTCTGTATTTTGTGCTCATCAACCCAAAAGCATCCCTTCTAGCGCACTAAATTCAAGCTATTGTTTGAAGAAAAATGAAGAATCTAGTGCGCTAGAAAGAGTGTATTTGGAAATTTGAGCATAAATTATATCCAATATAAAGATAATCAAACTTTCCAGGTTGATTTGATATGTAATCACTATGCTCATTGGCATCATGAAAGAGATGAGCCGTTGACGACCGGGAAATGGTCGATCAATGAGACAACCGGTTTGAACTTTCGGGATACAGGTTTTATCTAGGTTCTTTAATCTGGTTTGGCTGCAGATAGCTTTCCTGCAATTTGAATAGCTGCAATTTGAATAGCTGCAATTTGAAGCATTTTTTCTAAAAGTAACTTTGAAAACCGGATCATCCAAACCTTAAAACCACATGACTATTGAAAAGCTCACAAATCAGTTCCTTCAATTTGATAGCTAATTTGATAACTAATCTCATTCCAACTTTTTCAGATAACCAAAAACGTTATTTACGTGATTTGGAAGATTGCGCTCGTTCAGGATGCACGACCGGGAAAGGTCATACAAGATTGGTGAGTGAAAAGGGGACTCAAAAGAAATCCTTGCGATTACTCAAGAGAAATCCTTGAACATTTTCAAGAGTTGAACTTTGAACAAACAAGTTGACAGCATTTTTTATGAAAGGGATAAACCTTTGCAGTTATGACAGACAAAAGTTACCGTAAATACTGTAATAGTACCCCACCCCCATAATGACGGTGCGGAGTGTTACGTAGTCTAGATTTGGAGGCGTTTACGTATTTACGTTTACGTATTTTCAAAAAATAGCTGAAATTCGTTTTTTTTACTAAAGACTTTTTGTAGGTTGGAAAATGAAATAAACTTTGTACGGATTGAGGGGGGGTATTACAGTATTTACGGTAAATACTTTACGGTGTGTATAATATTTTCAATTGAATTCAATTCCATAAACAATACTTCATTTTTTCGGGAGTGACAGTCGTTGGGTCTAGATTTGTTTCTGTAGCTAACTGCTGTAAATATAATATACTTAAGAATATAAAGTATTCAGAAATCAAGATAGAAATTAGCTTTATTGAAAGAAAACTCAAATTTAAAGCTAAGCTTTCTATCTAGAGCTTCTTTTGCGCTCTAAAACATATCAACTTTCAAAGACTAGTATAATCTTGGCTCTTTATTTATCCCAATATCTACTTTTGATTTGATTCTGTAAGGAATAAAGAATAAAGAACTCACAAAGAATAAAGAAATCTACAAAAATAGATAGATTAAATCAAAAAATAGAGATAGTTTTTGAAAGTTTCTCAAAAGTTCTCAAAGTTTCTCAAAAAGTTCTCAAAAAGCACTCTAGTGTTGATGTTTATATCTAAAAATTGAAGCAATCTCTACTTTTTTTGTTTACCCAATCTTCAAAAAATCCAATCGAATCTAATCAATTCCATGGATTGATCGGATGATCGATTCCTCTCTTTGTGTTTGTATCATTTGCATTGTGGGAGAGTGATGGGAAGAGAGATCTCCCTCATTTCCCTCAACCATTCTCAATTCAAGAATGTCTGTCCACTCTCAAGGATACTTCACTTCAAAAACCTTTTTGATATCGAAAAAATTCTTCTCTAACATTGAAGGGTTTAGCTTAAGAGTTGATCAAAAATTTGAAAGATTTGAAAGAAAAAAAATCGATATAGAATAGTGTAGTTTGTTCTTTTTGAGAAGAACAGTATAGTTTGTTCTGTTAGAGAAGAACAGTATAGTTTGTTCTGTTAGAGAAGAACAGTACAGTCTGTTCTATTTAAGAAGAACAGTATAGTCTGTTCTATTTCAGAAGAACAGTATCGTCTGTTCTATTTGAGAAGAACAGTACAGTCTGTTTTATTTGAAAAGAACAGTATAGTTTGTTCTGTTTGAAAAGAATAGTGAAAAGTCTGTTCTGTTTGAGAAGAACAGTATAGTTTTGTTCTATTTAAGAAGAACAGTATAGTTTGTTCTGTTTGAGTTTCTAAAAATAGTCAACTTTTAAAACTATTGTAGTCTTGTCTCTAGGAATTTGTTTCTCCAATCTAATTCTGTGAGAATTCACAACGAAAACTGGTAGATAGATTGGATAAAAAAGAAGTAAGCGTAATCTTACTTCTTTGTTGTTTTGCTTTATTGTTTTGCTTTATTGCTTTAGCTTAGAAGATTGCAGTAATCTGGCAAGTAAGCCGTAAGCCAAGATTGAGTTTTTGTACACTCTGTAGATTCTGTGTACACTCTGTGTCTGTGTACACTCTGTAGATTTGAAAGCTGAAAATTCATCCAATTTCTAGCAATGAATTCGTCAAAATAACGTCAAACTTTTTTCAGGAAACACTTAAGAACCTATGCCTTTGAAATAAGATAATTTAAAACAAAAAAACAAACAACTGAAACTGTACAACAGAAATAAAATTTTCTTATTTTCTCTCTTTTATATAAACACTATCAATCATTAAACAAAAACCAAAAATTGCAAAAAAAAAATCTTTTCTATCTATGAGAGAAAAGAGATTTTTATAGACGAGGTCATCAAATAAATAAAAGAAAGAAAATAAATTTAGGGAATTGAAAATCGAAAATTGTAAATCGAAAATTGTAAATTGAAAATTGTAAATTGCAAATTGAAATTTTAGAAACGAGAAACGAAAAAGAGCATGAGAAAGGAAATCCGATTGATGTCACAACAGGAACGGGAGAAACTCTTTGAAGCGATGAATAAGCTGAAAAGTGAGGAGAAGTGAAGGTGTTCATAAAAATCTATCACAGTAAATTATTTATAAGTAGTACAATATCCTACATAGATAGTACAGATCCGGAACAACCTCTGCGTCCATACAGGGTGATCAAAAATTTCCGCGCACAATCACTTACTTAAAGAAAGCTCAATTTTTCAGCTAAAAGCTAGATCGAAGGTACTTTTCCAAAGGGGAAGAAAGAAAAAGAACAATAAGCTAGCGGGATTGAACCCTACTATATACCGTATTTTCTCTAATAGTAGTGCACCAAAAGCTTCACCTAAATTCCTCGAAATCTCGAGAACCACTTATCAGAATCTATCGATGTGGGATCGGAAAATGTAGCTGACGATGAGATCTAGTGGGGGATTCGAGTTTTGAGCTTCTGCAAAAGCTTGGAAACTGTAAAATAGGCATCAACTCGACAAAGCCTGACTGGCTCTTTTTATGGCTAGGATCTGGCACTACTATTAGAGAAAAGAAAAGAGAATTAAAGCTGAAATTCTGTTAAACATTTCTATAAGTAAATCACTGCAAATTTTGTTTTAACTTTCATTTAGAAAATCAATCATTTAAAAGTGTGTGAGAACTTGTCGAATATTTTACTGACAAAGCCAGACTGGCTCTTTTTATGACTAGGATCTGGCTCCTGCCGGACAAAGTCTGTCTTCTCATCTTGTGGAAAATCTTGTGCAACTCTGAGCCCAATAGAATATTCTTTCTATTATCGTTTTGTGATTTTCTCCCAAAACAACTTTTTAGGTAAACAAGTCGATAACATTAATGCCTGGGATCTGCACACTCTCGTCCACTATCCAGACTCGGCACCAGGTTAATAGCTTAATTAGTTAAGCATTCTATACCTTATCTTTTTTTAGGTGCTCACTGGGGCCCAGCTTTCCTCCCATGGCATCGAGAGTTCTTGCGACAGTTTGAGGTGGCTCTACAGAAAGAAGTCCCCGGAGTGGCTATGGCTTATTGGGATTCAACGTTAGATCAAGGTACTTTTCCGAAGGGGAAGAAAGAAAAAGAACAATAAGCTAGCGGGATTGAACCCTTGTCCTCTTGACTAAGATACAGGGCTCTTAGCCAGTCGGCTATTGTACACTAAAAGCTGTAATTGATTTCCGGAGTATAAAAAGTAAATGAGGTTTTCGAAAATTCAAATCTTTTTAGGCCTTCCCGATCCAGCAGACAGTGTTCTGTGGACAGACGAGTTGATGGGGAATGGGAATGGGTAGGTTGTGTGCAATGAGATACGAAAATCAAGCTACTTTATTGTTTATAATTATCTAAATCAACAATGGGTAGGTTATCAGCAGTAAGATGCGAAAATTAAGCTACTTTATTATTTATAATTATCTAAATCAACATTTCATTGAACTATTGATTCCCTAGTTATGTGAAGACGGGTCCATTCAAAGATTGGGACACGAATGTGCTGATGCCGCTTAGTCAAGTGCCTGTTAAGAAACTCTATCGGTAAGAGATACAAAAGAAGATCTAAAAATTCTAAAGTTTAGAATGACTGGCGGCAGAGCACAGGATCGTTTGATGTCTCCAAGAGATGTGGAGTGGATTCTGAGTCGATCGAAGTTCGAGAATCTCGTCTTTTGTCATGATACGGTAGATTGATAAGTGACAAATTGAGCCAAAGACAAATTGAGGAAAGTCTTGTCGGCTATTTTAAAAAGTGACTTTTTGAATTATTGGGTTGGGGAGAATGAGTCGGCGCCAAACTTTAAAGGGACTTTTTGCACACATAAAGCCTTCTTTAAACATACGTTTGGTTTCATCAAAAGGATCCACTATTTCTCTACAAAATCACTTTTGAGAGATTCCACAAAGCTTTTCTTTCGTGGAGTTTATGAACTTCCAAACGCAGCTGGTTAAAATGGCAAAGAGTCCGACTCATCATTTGAACAGTTTCTTTCACATAAACCTTCTTTGGTGTTTATATAAAAAAGATAGAGCACATTCAATTACTTAAGTTGCCAAATTTGCAGGAAGATCCCACCAATGGTTTTTTCTAGATGACAGTTTGTAGTTTTTGTGAAAAAATGGCTTTTTCTTGAGCGGAGGCGCTGTTTGAATTTTCTTTTAAATGTGATTTTGTAGAGAATTCGTTAACCATTCTACTCATATCAAACGCATATTATTTGACGAAGTCGAATAGAAGTTTTAGACATTTTTTTGATTTTCGGCGCCGACTCATTCTCCCCAACCCAATAAATAATAAACCAATTGAGATATGGTTTTGCAAATAAAAAGTCCGATTATTTATTTACAAATTTCTATTTAAGAAATTTTGAAAAGCTCGTTAGTTCATTGTTTTTTTGACTCTTTGACTTTTTGACTTTTTGACTTCACGGTGTAAAGTCAAGGAGTGAAAAACGATGAAGTTTCGATTCTTGATCGAATTTGAATAAAAGTGGACTCAGTGGTTTGTTGTTGATCCACAGGAGTTCAGTTAGAGCCGTTTCATTGAAGTCACTCACGCCCCCACCTCTTCCTCTAGAGAAAAGTCGCCTTTCTAGAAACGATGAAGTCATTTGCAAGCGGTTGCTAGACTGCTGTGAACCTTGTCCATAAACATGATTAATCTCTCCATAAACATGGATGAGATTGGAATTTTTCTTGAAGTTAAATAAAAGGACACGTCGAAGATGGTCCTTCGGTAGAGTATTGCTTCAGAGAAAGACAAAAATAAAACAGAAAATTAATAGTAATTAATAGTTGAAGAGTGGCATAAACAAATCTCTTTTTATCCGAATGCTTTTGATGCTGGAGAATACTGATAGAAAAGAAAAGAAAAGAAAAGAAAAGAAAAGAAAAGAAAAGAAAAGAAAAAGAAATTCTCCCTTAACCTTTCCAACCTAATAGACTGTTTCAAATCAATCGATCAATCAATCAATCAATCAATCGATTTCAAATCTATTGTTTAGACATTTGAAAGCATCCATGGCTTGTCGCATGCTTGGGTGGGAGGCTTTATGTTTGTGATCAGGTTTGGTGAATAACTTTTCAATTATGAGATAAGATTAGAGTTTATTCATTGAACCCTACTGTATCTTTAACAAATTTTCATTTTATCTTTATATCTTTCATTTTAGAGTCTCTCCAAATGATCCAGCTTTCTACATGCATCACGCTTTCATCGACAATCTCTGGGAACAATTCCGGCATCGACGACAAAATCGATGGCAACGGGAGAATGATTGGAGTCGAGTGGGCTTAATATTCACTCTTGAGTGTACTTTGTGCTTAAAAATAGAAACACAGCCTTTCTGATTCACTAGATTCTTTTTTTTTGGCGTAGAGCGATCAGAGCAGAGCAGAGGATTGTAAGGCAAAGTAGAAGAAAACAATTATTTACTTGTTAGGTTAGGTTTTATTGATTTAAACTCAAATTTAATCTATATACTTAATCTATATCTATATTTAATCTAATACTTAATTCTGATTCTTTTTAGAACTCGTGCAATCGAAATCAAGACGCCTACGCGCAAATGAAACCGTTCTCAATGACAAATCGAGACGGACTTTCGAATAATTATACGGATTTATGGTAAGTTAGTATGTTACTTTAATATGAAAATTTCTTTATTTATTTATTTATTTATTTTACTTTTATTTTATTTTACAGCTCTATCTAAAGCTTTCAAAATTAATATAGAGTTGAATTTAGGTACGAGTACGAGCCGGTAGTGCACTGCACTGAGTCACGCCCGTATTGTGATTCGCCATACTTGTGGTGTGATGAGAAATTACATCGGTAAGTTTAAAGATAAAGCTGGTTGGGAGGGGTTTAAGCTCTAGATAAGGCTGGTTGGGAAGAGATAAGCTTTAGATAAAGCTGGTTGGGAAGAGGTTAAGCTCTAGATGAAGCTGGTTGGGAAGAGTTTAAGCTTAAGATAAAGCTGGTTGGGAAGGGTTTAAGCTCTAGATAAGGCTGGCTGGGAAGAGTTTAAGCTCTAGATAAAGCTTATCTCTAGATAAAGCTGGTTGGGAAGAGATAAGCTCTAGATAAGCTTTTTTTATCTAATAATTAGTATCTAATAATCTAAAGTATATTTTCTTCTTGATTTTTCAATTTTACCAACAATTCTTTCTAGATGTCGATCGCGAATCGTCCGCGGTGGCAACTGTACCGGTTTTGAGGGGACTTCGATCTGTTATGAGTCTGTTTGCATACGCGTGAGTTACTAATCACAAATTTACATTTAAAACTATTTACAACTCTATTATCTAGCTTCTAAAATAACTATTGATATCCGGTCTTTAGAATGTCTGCCAACTTCCACCTGAAATCGCTCCCCAACGACAGGATCTCGTTCAACACGCCAATTTACCAAAGTAAGAACCTAAACCAAAGCTTGAATGAGCTTGAATGTTCATTTTCTTTTATCTAAATACCTTTTCAGTAATGTAAGACGGTACTTTGGTCTGACCGGAGCCAATGAAAGGGCTAATTCATTGAGAGAAGAGATTCCGTCAAGGGAATCTCTCAAATGGACACCCCCAAAAAGTGTAACTAGGAGGTATTCGGAATGGGAAATGGAAAGGGATAAAGAGGGAAAAGAAAGAAGATCGTGTACTTACTAAATAAGATTATGAGTAAATTGCCTAGCTGTCATAGCTGCCTAGCTGTCATAGCTGCCTAGCTGTCATAGCTGCCTAGCTGTCATAGCTGCCTAGCTGTCATAGCTGCCTAGCTGTCATAGCTGCCTAGCTGTCATAGCTGCCTAGCTGGCATAGCTGCCTAGCTGGCATAGCTGCCTAGCTGGCATAGCTGCCTAGCTGGCATAGCTGCCTAGCTGGCATAGCTGCCTAGCTGGCATAGCTGCCTAGCTGGCATAGCTGCCTAGCTGGCATAGCTGCCTAGGGGTTCTTCTATTGGAATAATTACAATATCTAAGTTTTATACTTCATAGAATGCTAGCAAGTACACGGTCTCAAGATGGTTTAACCCTGGAAATGGATACAGCACTTTCTTAGTTACTGTATTTTCTCTAATACTAGTGCACCAAAAGCTTCGCCTAAATTCCTCGAAATCTCGAGAACCGCTTATCAGAACCTATCGATGTGAGGTCGGAAAATGTAGCTGGCAATGAGATCTAGCGGGGGATTCGAGTGTTGAGCTTCTGCAAAAGCTGGGAGACTGTAAAATAGTCACCAACTCGGCTCGCCACGGTCCACTACAATTAGAGAAAATACGATATCAAACACATTCCACTCAACAGAAAACTTAACTACAAACTCTTTTTTTTTTTAAGTTTCATTAAATAAATTCTTATCAAATTCATTAATGAACTCAATTTTTAGACCTGCTGAAACAGTTTGGGCAAAAACAATAATGTTGGATAGAGACGCGAGAGGGTTGGCTGATACGCTGGCAACTGGTTTGTGTCAAGAATTCATCAAAATTCTCATCAAAAATCTTCCTAATCTTGAAATTGTAATCGCACACTTTCTGGCACACTAGAAATGATTGCATTCAGTGCACCAGAAAGGGTGCGTTTCTATTTCATTATAATCTCAAAGTATACTAGATCAAACTCCGTTTTTCAGTGACTGTTCACGATCGAGACATCGGTGATAACTACACAGCCTACATCGAACCGATCACCGAATATCCAGAGATACCGGTACTTATTAAATGTTCACGATCTGGTTTTGGTTTGGACCCGGTTTTGGACGTATTTGTCAAGCTCAATGCAGTAAACAGTAAACAGAAAAGTACAGTAAACAGAAAAGCCTATCTAAATCTAAAGCATCCAACGTCTATAAGTCTTAAATTAAAATCCGATATCTTTAGGGATTGCTCTACCTTCCTTTGCTGAAGCCTCATCCAGAGATGGTGCACAATTTAGCGCTCATCGCTCGTGACGGTTTTGGACGTATTTGTCAAGCTCAATGCTACAATGATACAATTGAAAGATACCAGGTAGATCATTTTTTTTATTTTATAGCTGTATACCGTATTTTCTCTAATAGTAGTTCAAAAGCTTTGTCTAAATTCCTCGAAATCTCGAGAACCACTTATCAGAATCTATCGATGTGGGATCGGAAAATGTAGCTGACGATGAGATCTTGTGGGGGATTTGGGTGTTGAGCTTCTGGGAAAAGTCAACCGGCTCGGCACTACGATTAGAGAGACGATAGAAAATTGATGGTTCCTGAACAGATAGCAGGAGAGGTTTGGACGAACCCTTGAATACAGCTATTTGATGTACGGAAAAATAGGTGCCGTATTCCTCTAATAGCGGCACCAAAGCTTCGCATTCCTTGAATCTCGAGAACCACTTATCAGAATCTATCGATGTGGGTCGGAAAATGTAGTTGACGATGAGATCTAGTGGGGGATTTGGTGTTGAGCTTCTGGGAAAAATTGGAAACTGCAAAATAGTCATCAACACGGCTCGCCGAAGTAACCAATCTCACCTTTGAACTTAAGCCTGTCAAAGTGCTATAAAGGTTTTCGGCCTACTGTGGGGCAGCTAGACAAGTCAGAATCTGAGCCAATTACCGTATTTTCCCTAATAGTACTCTAAGCCTTCGCCTAAATTCCTCAAAATCTCGAAATCCGCTTATCAAAACCTATTGATGTGGGATCGGAAAATGTAGCTGACGATGAGATCTAGTGGGGGATTTGAGTGTTGAGCTTCTGGGAAAACTTTGGAAGCTGTAAATACAGTAATCACCAACTCGGCTCGCCCGGGTGCACTACTATTAGAGAAAATACGGGATTATAATAACAATTGATATTTCAAAGACTCAACTTTCAGGTCTGCGACCCGAAAATCTCACTCTCAATGCGAGCGGACGTCTCAGCTCCAATGGCCTACACGCATTCGATGGCTAATCGAAAGTCAGGCAGTGATATTTGAAAAAAACGATAACTGAATATCTTTATGAACTTGAGGAGAAGAATTAAACTAGTGAAAACCAGAAAAAAAAGCAAAAGCAAACGATTTGCAGATACCTTGACACTGATCTTTCCGTGCATCCACTCCGCGTCCATCCATCTGTTCCGTATATTGTCTTCGCTTGCACAACTAAAGTAAATCAATTAAACTGCATGACCATTTTGATTCTTTTGATTCAAAAAAACAAATTTCAATATTTTAGGTACTAACCTCAGCCCAAGTTGCTGCAGTTGGCGAGGCTCTTCACCCAAAGGCTCCCACTTCGCAACTCATCTGGTTTCGTGTAGCCGTTCATCGAAGTGATCGACGGAACATGCAGGTAGGATAGCTTGATGCTAGTAAAAGTCAAGTAAGACTCAAGTTCCCCTATAGCTCATTGGTTGAGCATTTGCCTAATAGCTGAAAGGTCACCGGTTTGAGTTCTGGCCATCGTTCTGGTCATCGTTCCCCAGCCAATAAAAAGATGCTGATCTATCCAAATCTTCACAACTCTGAATGTAAATATCAAGTTCTATTTTTAGATTGAAGTGATTCAATTGGATGACTGGAGAGATCCCTGGTTCTCGGCAGTCGACGCAGCTGCTAGTCCCTTTGATCCGACGATCATCTTTGCTAAAGTAAAACTGAAGCTGAGCATTGGCATTGCTAAGATTTACACTTTTTCTAATACTTTTCCTTTCTAATACAAATCTTTTTATCATTTAGGCACCAAATCCCGAGCACTCGACATCAGGAATGGTGAGAGTGATGGTGAATCTTTTCGAGAACAATGAAAGGATTCAATGCCCAGCGAAATGCACCTTAGTTCGTTGTTTTAAAGTGTACTTTGTAATCCTTTCTATTGGATTCTTAAAATGTTAGGAAAGTGCCATTCCAGGAAGATGGATCAATGATCGAGTGTGATGGACAAGTTGAGCTGTCAATTGATCCAAATCGTGGAGATGAGCCGGTTTGTTGATAAGGGCAATGACCAATCTACATTCAAATCTTTGACTCTAGCTTTAAAGCTAGAGCCAAAGCTAGAGCCAAAGCTAGATTCAAAGCTAGATTCAAAGCCAGAGCCAAAGCTAGAGCCAAAGCTAGAGCCAAAGCTAGAGCCAAAGCTAGAGTCAAAGCTAGAGCCAAAGCTAGAGTCAAAGCTAGAGCCATAGCTAGAGCTGGAGCTCCAGCTGGTCAAAGCTAGAGCCTAGAGTCTGCTTTAAATCCAAAAGCTTTAATCCAATGTTCTTGGATAATCGATGATGATTGATTGTTGAGGTGTGGAGTGGAGACGAGGAAGCTCTGCCCGTCCTCGGCTGGGATATGAGAGGTCATCCGACTCGGTGGAGACACAGAATGCCCTATCTATCGTTTATCTGCTAATCAAAACATTCACTAATAGCAATTCGGTGCTTTTATTTAAAACTAAACTTTCTATAGCTTGATTATTTTCATTTCATTGAAAGTTTTAGCCATTACTCTATTTTCTCTCGATGTATCTCTGATTCTCGCATTCCTTATGTTTCCATCCGCCCTTGTAGGGTGTAGACTTGAATTTTATTATCTTCTTTTATCATTTATTTTATCTTTTTTTCCATATCTAGTCATTAAACTTAATAATACTTGTAAATTTAGAGAGTTTTTCGGTGATTTTTACGGATTTTCAAGGATTTTCAAGGATTTTCAATGATCATTTCAATGAATTTCACTTTTTTTTATACACTGCCTAATAAAAAAATTAATAAGTATTTATACAATTATATACAATTGAATATTTTGATTGAATTGAACAATTGACAATTGAATTTGAATTGAAATGAACTGATAATTGGATTGAAATGAATTGGCAATTGAATTGATAATTGAATTGAAATGAATTGACAATTAAATTGAAATGAATTGACAATTGAGTTGAAATGAATTAACAATTGAATTGAATTGAATTGAAATGAATTGGCAATTGAATTGATAATTGAATTGAAATGAATTGATAATTGAATTGAAATGAATTAACAATTAAATTGAAATGAATTGGCAATTGAATTGAAATGAATTGATAATTTAATTGAAATTAACTGACAATTGAATTGAAATGAATTAACAATTGAATCATTTACATTTCAATCTTTCAATCATTTACAGCTTTTCTTTAACCGGATTCCTTAGATTGATATGTGGTGGGGGTTTATTCGTGAGAACATAATAAGTGGAGAAAGCGGAGATGAAGATCATGATGAGAGCACCGTGATATGCACTTTGATAGGTCTCCGGGCACAACATCCAGCAACCGAGCCTAAAATAGAGATACTTTAAAAGCTAAAGATCATAGGAATACCTTAAAACTAAAGGTCATAGGGATACTTTAAAAGCTAAAGATCTTAAGGATACTTTAGAACTAAAGATCATAGGGATACTTTAAAAATAAAGATCATAGGGATACTTTAAAGCTAAAGATCATAGGGATACCTTAAAACTAAAGATCATAAGGATACCTTAAAACTAAAGATCATAGGGATACCTTAAAACTAAAGATCATAAGGATACCTTAAAGCTAAAGATCACAGGGATACTTTAAAAGCTAAAACTTCATTTATTGCCTTATCTTTCCTTATCTTTATTAAAAAACAGATTTGATTCACCAATTCTTTACAGGCAAAGTACACAAAGAATTTGAGAATTCTCTCTTTTCAACTCACTCTCCAGTTTTGCGTCCAACAATGAAATGAGTGTAAAGAAGCTGAAATTTAATGTTGTTTAAAGATTTTGAAGATTAAGATTGTTTAAAGATTTTGAAGATGTTTAAAGATTAAAGATTAAATCCAAGCACAAACCTGCAACGAATGAAGCCACCAGAAAGTTTTCCCAGCCCACATATGCAATGGAAAGAATTTCCCAAGGAAATTATCCGGAAAAAGTTGAGGAGCAAGAACGATAAGACCGGTAAGAATCGCCTAAAATACTTTAGTTTGACAGTTTGACAGTTTGACAAATCATAATCTCATGTTTAGTTTAGATTTAAACTCCTGTTGTTTGAATGAGCTTTAATTCTCTTCGAATTCGCAATGAATTCTCTCAATTCTCTTTTTAAAATCGACTTTCATAGGCTTACCATCAAAATATAAACGCCTTGAAGGCCCAGCATTAGAAAACCGCTAAGTGAGTAAGCCATTCCAGCCTGAAATTTGGAATGTACAATCATTCAATGTACAATGTACAATGTCTAATCATTCTACAGTTTGTTTAAGACCTGTTTAAGTGAAAACCAAGCAAATCCAATTGAAATAATAGCCAAAGTGTGTCGAAAAGCGTGATCTTGAATCGAGCGAGTTAAACGAAATTGCATAAGAGCTGAAATATTCATGTGTTTTCAAGATTTGAGTTTCTTTTTTTTTCTTTTTTACCTCTTCCAGTGAGCGCATGAGCAAGAGTCATGAAAAATACGTGATTCGACAAATTCAATTTCGATAGTCCAAACGAGAAACCGGTGCCCATTTGACTGTAAGCATACGCTGAAAAGGTTCCCATATTTCCCCGGCATAATATAGCTTCAATTTTCTTTTCATTTCCTATACTATAGCCCATACTATAGCCCATACTCTAGCTTCATTTTCTCACAAAAATAGAGAATTGATTGATTGATAGAGAATTGATTTGCTAGAATGATTGTGTTTCCAAATTCTGGCCAAGTTCTCAACAATTTTCTCTCAGAAAACCCACCAGTAAGCGCCACTTCGGCGATCGAGCTCATAAAGGTAATATCTTCCATTTTCTGTATTCTAAAGTTGATTTTTAGTTATTTGTATGAATCGCTGATAAAAGCTGATAAAAGGTAAAAGTTGTTAAAAGTTATTGAAGATAAAAATATTGAAAATGAAATTCAAGTCGAAATTCAAGTCAGGCATCAATAAGGTGGAGTCAATATTTTTGTGAACAACGAAAAGAACAGAGAAAAACAAAAGTGCAAAGAGGAGAAAAGGCACAAAAAGGAAAAAGGGTAAAGGGATTTCGAAAGAGAAAAAGTGAGATAAATACTTGTTTTTTTTTAAGTTGAAATGGGTGTACTTTAAGGACAACAATGGTGGACAATAAAATTTTGCTGAAAACTCCCAATTGCTATCGAATTTTAAGGGGATTTTCGAAAAGCAATGCTTATTCTATGAAGAAATGTAAAAAAATGGGAGATTTGTTTGAAATAAACAACCAAATTAATGATTTTGACGTAGTTTTTGCGTTGATTAGCTTTCATTTAGTTCCGTATTAGATCCGTATTAGATCTAAAAAGGAACCCGTATTGGAACCGTATTGGAACCATAGTGGATCTAAAAAGGAAACGTATTGGAACCGTATTGGATTTAAAAAGGAACCGTATTGGAACCGTATTGGATTTAAAAAGGAACCGTATTGGAACCGTATTGGAACTGTATTGGATCTAAAAAGGAAACGTATTGGAACCGTATTGGATCTAAAAAGGAAACGTATTGGAACCGTATTGGAATCGTATTGGATCTAAAAAGGAACCGTATTGGAACTAAAAAGGAACCGTATTGAAACCGTATTGGAACCGTATTGGATCTAAAAAGGAAACGTATGGAACTGTATTGGATCTAAAAAGGAAACCTATTGGAACCGTATTGGATCTAAAAAGGAAACGTATTGGAACCGTATTGGAACCGTATTGGATCTAAAAAGGAACCGTATTGGAACTAAAAAGGAACCGTATTGGAACCGTATTGGAACTGTATAGGATCTAAAAAAGGAAACGTATTGGAACCGTATTGGATCTAAAAAGGAAACGTATTGGAACCGTATTGGAACTGTATTGGATCTAAAAAGGAAACCTATTGGAACCGTATTGGATCTAAAAAGGAAACGTATTGGAACCGTATTGGATCTAAAAAGGAACCGTATTGGAACCGTATTGGAATCGTATTGGATCTAAAAAGGAACCGTAAAACTTCGCTTTTAAAAGACAATCGGACAATTAAAAGACAATTAAACGCTTTTAAAAGACTTATCATTTAGACTTGTCGTTAGCTTGGATACGATAAAGGATTTCTGAAGCTTTTGATGACGATAGCTCAATATTTTAACGTCTATCTTTTAAAAAAAAACTTTTTATCATAAGGAATACAAGTGTCGAATATTTTGTTAATTGTTATCTCTAAAAAACAAATATTTTGAATTGAATTGAAGCCTAGATCGTTTTTTGAAAGACTCAAGAACTGTGTTTACACAAGCAACTCGAGAACTATGCTTTAGAAATTTTATACTCATACCAAATGACTAAGTTGATTTCTTCAAGTTTCATTTACTTGTTCGCTTTTAAAAGAACAATACTTATCCTTATCTTTCCTATTTCTTGGGCAAAGATAGCTGGTAAAGCGTCTGCTAAGCAGAAAATCGAGCGTTCAATTCCTTTTGAATATTGTCCTATTTTAACAAATTTGAATTCCCTATCTTAACAAATTTGGTTTCCTATCTTAACAAATTTGGTTTCCTATCTTAACAATACTTACCATAAATACTTACCGTAATTGGACTCCACCCCCCTCGTACAGTCGGGTAGTCGCAAAAGTTTTTTAGTATTTCATTTTTTTCAAAGCACCCGTACTTTCAAAAAATGCGTCTTTGTTATCAAAAAATAACCCTGAATTTCAGCTATTTTTTGATACCTAAGCGCACATTGTAGCATAAACCAGTGTCGAGAAAAACGCGTTCAAAGCTAGACTGCGCAACGCTCCGCACCGGCATTATGGGGGTGGGGTACTATTACAGTATTTACGGTATCCTTATCTTCCCTATTTCTTGGGCAAAGATAGCTGGTAAAGCGTCTGCTAAGCAGAAAATCGAGCGTTCAATTCCTTTCGGTTTCAAATTCTTCCATCCATTTCTTTACTTTATCACTCGCTAGCTAGCTTGGATACAGTCATTCCTGATTTAGCATTCTTGGATACAGTCATTCTTGATTTAGCAGCCGTTTCTTCCTCCTGTTCCTATCAAATGATGATTTCTGCTTTACAAATGGTTCAACAAATGATCTCAAATGGTTTCAACCACTAAAAGTGTTCTTTCGGATAAAGAAATAAAAGATTTGGCTTGCAAAGGGAAACATTCAAAAGCCAGAAATTGCTGCCAAACAGCGACTCTTTGCACTGAACCAGAAAAAGGTAATGGTTTTGGACAAAGTACTGGTCCATGCTCTACTCTTACATCTTGGCCCATTTGTCCATGAGCATAAATTCATCGGAAATGCATCCGAAGAGAGCATTGAGGCAGTTCACAACAAGATAGAATCTGAATTTGCTCGAAACAAGACAGAAGCACAAGAAGATCGACTAATGAACTCGCTTAAGTGGCTCGGTTATGTTGTTGTGCTCAATGATGATGGAAAGATGACAAGTTAATTTCCTCCTTTTTGCTTGGTGACTTCCTCCTTTTTGCTTTCCCGTTGAATTGTGACTCTTTTTTTTGTTTAATCCATTCTTATAAAGAGGATAAATTGTGGATGTGAGTTTTTGGATTATTTTATTTTAGATCAATCAATCCAATCAATCCAATCAATCCAATCAATCCAATCAATCCAATCAATCCAATCAATCCAATCAATCCAATCAATCCAATCAATCCAATCAATCCAATCAACCAATCAATCCAATCAATCCAATCAATCCAATCAATCAATCAATCAATCAATCAATCCAATCAATCCAATCAATCCAATCAATCCAATCAATCCAATCAATCCAATCAATCAATCAATCCAATCAATCAATCAACCATCCACTCCCCCCCCCCCCCCCCACCCCCCCCCCCCCCCCCCCCCCACCCCCCCCCCCCCCCCCCCCCCCCACCCCCCCCCCCCACCCCACCCCCCCCCCCCCCCACCCCCCCCACCCCCCCCACCCCCCCCCCCCCCCCCCACCCACCCCCCCCCCCCCCCCCACCCCCCCCCCCCCCCCCCCCACCCCCCCCACCACCCCATCAATCCACCAACCCACCCACCCACCATCAATCCACCCAATCTATCAATTCAATCTCCATCTCAATTCAATCAATCAATTTTCTCATCTTTTAAATAAGTTAAAGTATTTTTAAGGAAAAATTTATAAACTTATATCAATCTTTGTCAATATTTTTGCCAAAAAAACGCTTGTAGAAAGGATTTGTGACCATTTTTCCGCATTTATTCTCTTATCAACAAAAAAAAGATTTCAATAATATTTCATTCTTTTTTCTGTTAGAAATCCCTCAACAAATCACAAGACGATAATCCTGGGATAAAACGTTTTTGGTTTTTTTGTTGATGATTGAAAGCCCCGCGAAAAAAGGACGCTAATCTGTAAGTTTCTTGGGGATTTCTGTGAGAGAAACGCGATCACAGCATTATCTACTTTTACTTTAAAGTTATATCGATTCTCAAACATTTCCGGCATTTGTTTTAGATAGTTTTTCCAGAAAATTGTTGTATCTTAAGCATTTTTCTGTTATCTGAATATGGCTACCGTAAATACTGTAATAGTATCAATACTGGATTGGAATAAATACAGCTTAAACTTATTTTCAAATGTCATCAATCAATAGAACATCTTTTCTAAAAGATTGGTAACTTTGAAAGCTACTGTAACCTACCGTAAATACTGTAATAGTACCCCACCCCCATAATGACGGTGTGGAGTGCTGCGTAGTCTAGCTTTGAACGAGTTTTTCTCGACACTGGTTTATGCTACAATGCTCGTTTAAATTTCAAAAAATAGCCCTGAATTTCAGCTATTTTTTTGATACCAAAGACGCATTTTTTGAAAGTACGGGCGCTTTGAAAAAAATGAAATACTAAAAACCTTTTGCGACTACGCGACTGTACGAGGGGGGTGGGGTACTATTACAGTATTTGCGGTAAGTTTTTCTTAGTTCGCACTTTCACAGAGACAGGTTATCAATTACATGGTCAGTTACTTAAAATGGACTTTTTAATCGAGGCGGACTGGCTAAGAGCCTTGTCTCTTAGTTCAGTCTCGGAGCCTGGAGGTTCAGTCTCGGTTCAAGGGTTCAATCTCGCTAGCTAGATTGGATGTTCTTTTTTTACTTTCAAGAGTTTATATAGGCTTAAACATGTAACTGGCTTTTGGGCCCTGGAGTTAATGGCTTAAACTACCGTAACCTATCGAGATTAACGAAGTAAAGTACTTGAAGACTTTTCGATTTTTGATAGCGATGATTCCATTTTAGAAAGAGTCGAATGAATAAAATTGAGTACTTCAAAGAAATGATTTATTTTAGAAACAAAACTTTTCCTAAAAATCTACTTTTCTTGTCGACTTGTTATTTAATAAATTGCTCAAGTAGAAAATCGTAATCCTTTGAATTTTGTGATTTTTGGAGATTTTAGAAACGTTTCTTCACCGATTTCTCCTAACAATTACAAAGCTACAAAGCTACAATGCTCAATTTTCTGAACATCAACCCTAAAGAACCAACTTTTAGGGTTGATTTTATCTTTTTTTTCTTAGTTTTATTCCCATTTCTTGACTCATTTCAATTTCCACCTTTTGACGGAAATTTGTCGAAAATGAAATTGGACGATCGAAGAGGGATTTACAAGGAAAAGATTGCTCTTTCTGATAGATAGCTCTTTCTGATAGACATCTTTCTGATAGACATCTTTCTGATAGCTCTTTCTGATAGACATTCAGCTCATTTGTAAGCAACATAAAAGAGGACCATGTATCAAGCTCGAATCTCTGAAATCTGAAAAAGAACAACAGACAG